TCAATACATAATATTGTTCTGAAGCTATTTTCTTGTGGCATTGTAAGTTAATTACTATTTATAACTGGGAATAAGTCACAATTAAAGATAAAAATACGTTTATTGACGTTTCAATTTCCAATTTGGAAATCGTTCTCAAAATACAAATAGTAAATTAAAATACATGTATGAATTTACCATGTTGAACTTTGTCAAACGCTTTATGTTAATCTATATAACATATGAATACAATTTTATTATAATCCCTGCAAGTTATGGTACACGGAAAGAAAAAAGGACAAACAAAAATGGAGGGTACGGAAAATGGTGGAGAATATTGTATGTAAAAATTAAGGGCGTAATTTTGCTGTATAATAAACAAACTATTTAAATAGTTTTAAACCAAAGTACCCATTCACAAGAGTTGATCATTTGTCAACTCTTGTGAAGAGGTTACATAAGAATAATTAAACCAGAATAAGAATTGCAACCATCGATAATGTATTCTAGCTCCCAGTCTGTTCAACTTCTATAGAGATTATACCGTACCTCGGAGGTAAAGAACACTATGTCCATTTTCTTACTTTTTCAGGAGAGCAGTTTTAACAATTTTAAAATTTTTAATCAGTAAATACTGAAATGTTTCTTATATTTAACCAAGATTAATATATTATTATTGTGGTGTGTATATTCGTTTTTCCTTCCATGAAGTATTATGTACTTGAAGTTTACCGTTCATTTTATATATTTTTTTTAAATGTGTAGTTGGACATAGTGTTGTTTACTTCTAATAACTTTTTTAAATAATGTGACATTGCATGTTAAGGTCTCTACGAAATAAACAATAGAAATACACTAAACAGCCTATACTATTATTTTATTAGAAGTAAATATTATAATGTTGTAATAATTAAATTAAGAAAAGTTAAGTAAAGTAAAATTATAGACAAGTTTCAAAATTGTTAAAGAGGCTCCATATCATCTTCATCTTCTTGTGGGTAATCGTTTGTGGCTACATCGCTATGTGTTAAATTTTGATAAAGTGCATGACAAACTGACGGAAAAAGGCAGTAAGGTAATGAAGTCATTAAACTTTTGTTTTCTGATTGGTAATGGGTTTACTGAGACTTGATTTAATTGAGCTGGAAACGTTAATTGCTGTCTTCGATACCTCATGAAGTGCACTTCATACATATTTTGATTATTGAAATCGGTCTTATAAAAGAGCTTCCTAATGTGTTCTTGTTGGACTTGTAGGAGTCAACACATGTTGACAGTAGAACAGGATCTTCATTAACATTTTTTTTTTCTACTTACAAAAGGATGGTTAAGTGACAATTTCTTATCGAACAGCGTTTTGAAGTTTTTAAAATCTGCAAGTTCCATATTGTGCACTGTGTATTTACCTGATGTTTGCCTAACTAGCTGTTGCCAGTTCCATGGCGTTAAAATGGCCAAATTGAAGAGTTTCTTTTTGTTTCTCTCGATTAAAGCCTAAACACTGTCTGCTTCCATATGTGTGTGCCCTTTCAGTAAAAACTTTTGAGTGATCGTCTTTATTTGAGGGTATGTACGCAGTATCCAAAAATAGCACAATATAACACTTTATCGTATAGCAGTTATCGGTCCAAAGAGTGATATCCTTTACTTGACTACCTGGAATTGTATTGTCAGTCCATTTCAAAATTCAAAAGGCAATTTCATTTGCACCTCGGAACCCTTTCGATTCGTTCCACATCATACATCTACAAAAGCTTCCTTTTGTAGAAACTAATACAATTGTGAAAGCAAACATTTTTACAAATCACCAGATAGTACTTTGTGTTGTGGTGACTCTTTAGCTATTAAAAAGTCCAATTGTTGTAAGTTATACCGAGTTTTAAATTCAATTAGGTGAGTATCATGATTAGCCTGTACACTGGTTAGTTCATCTGCAGTAAGATTATTTTTCAATTGAGCTGTGAATGTACTGCATGTATCGCAAGTGTCTATTTCGGGTTTCCAAGTTTTCAAACGAAAACTTTGAAATCTTTATTAAAAATATCTGCGTCGAATTACTTTTTTACTGAGCTTTGGATCTACATGTATTTCATTGCATTCATCAAAGTACAGTTGATACAACTTTTCTATCGTAAATTCTGTGCCAAGATAATCTCTCTTACTCCTTTCTCTGGAATAATGAATCTCGCACTTTGGGAATGATTTAATATGTTGATGTATTCTATTTATGGTTTCGCTAGGAGTTTTATTGATTAGCGTGTGTCTCCCTCTTTGATCAGCTTTTATTACACCTCCTGGCTTAATTTTTTTCAACGTATTTACTACTACTAAATTAGATATACAAAATGTGTTTGAAAAAAATAACCTTGCACACCCTCAATCGCTGATTGTTCACTGTAAAAAGGTAGTGTAGTGTATTATTTTTAGATTTGGTAGAATTTAGGTCTCTTTTTGTTAATCGAAGAATAGGTTGGATGTCGACACATGAGAAGATAAATTGCTTTTTAAAATCTGAAACGTTTGTCTCAGTCCAGTATGAGTTGAAAATTTTTTGTCTTTCGTATTCTGGCAATCTTTTAGAGCATTTCATGCGACATATGCAGGGAAGCTTTAACATTTTTGCAGGCATGTTTTTGCCTTTTTTACTGAGATACTCTTTCCCACCACCTATTTTTGATTTGCGAACATTACAGACCCAATTTTGTTCATTTACTACACGTTTTTTGTCTTTTTGTTTGCACTTATTTTAACACTTTTCTCTTCTTCTAAAATAACTTCATTATGTTCATTGGAATTGCCTGCTTCACAGCTTAGGAATAAATCGTCCTTAAGGAGATTTTTTGTTATTGCCACACTAGTCGTAGGAGTAATAATAGCTTTCTCTTTTATCTTTGATTTCGCTGGTTTACTTATACGTCTCATATCATTGTCGTCTGATTCTGAGTTTAGAGGCTCATAGGTTATATCAATATCCGAATTATCATCTCCAAACAAATTATCATTTTCGTACTCTTCCTTACCATTACCTTGGAAGTTACTGTAATGACCAGGTGGTTCTGAAACAAATCCAGCCTTGTAATAATAATTATAGACTAATTTTATAGGCCTATAATTGGCCAACACAAAAATAATCCTTATAACCAAAGACCGGAATTTACTGAGCAATTTCCGTTACTTCCATTAAAAAAATATAGATCTGGCAACATCTGTTTTCCCTAATCTGTTGGTATCAACAACAACAATAATTTTTGGGGTATCGGTTACGCCTAACGGTAAATAAATTTTACCCAATCTCTTGTAGTATTTTGTTCATACGAGTATATATTGATAATTGCTTGGTAAATTCCTGTCTATGCCTACAACACAATAATATAAATGGCAATGCATGTTACATAAATAACTGACAACAATCGTACCATATTATGGTCATTTAAAAAAACAGACGAAATTCTTTACTAGTAACAAGAACATACTAACTGATACTTCTATTTTAACGGTAGATAGAAAAAATGTATGTACAGTTTGAAATTCTGAGCCCTATACAAAATAATATACGATACTAAATATTTGAGGTTAGAAAAATACAAAATCAGTGTTAAAAAACAATAGCTTACCTGTAAGTGTTGTATTATTTGGAATATTACATGACAGTAATTGTAATATTATTTTTACACGAGAGTTCGGATCCATTTTACAGTAATTAAACAACGAACTTATTGTACAACTTTTATCAACCTAACACAATTGCGATCTAAATGAAAAGGTTGCAATGATTTTAGTTCATGATAATTCCGCCAGGTACAAGGGTACATAACACTATGTCCGTATGGTAAATGACAATGGACACATTTACTAGAAGTCCACATGGTGTTGTTTACCTCTGACTGGAAGTGGACTTGGTGTCAATTAAAAAGTCGGTAACTTGCCGTAAAATTGTCTCTGGACATAGTATGGTTTACCTATGTGTAGAGCCAGAAAAGTTATATTCAAAAGTGCAATAATCTAAATTTCGATAAAAATGGACATAGTGTCCTTTACCTCCGAGGTACGCATATGTATAATGAGAAAACACATTTGACAAATGGAAGGGTGATATCTCTATCACAGTAAAACATATCTCAAAACTTAGATGATATATGAAAGCAATAGAGTTAAAAAACTTTGGGAATATTACTCCTTGTCCAAGAACACCAAAATGAGATTACGCTTCCTAATTTTTCCTATATTTAGTTACGGGTCCAAAAAATGAACAATGAAATCGGGCGATAGGAAAAAAATTGATACCTTTAAAATAGTGATGGACGAGAGTGTTTTGGATTTCATAAGTACCACATGTCTGTAATTGTTCTTCTTTATCACCAGTAAGTGCGTTGCTCTTATTTACTCTTATAATTAATGATTGTAACTTATAATAAATCATGAAATCGTAATGAGGGTAGGCGTGGACAATGACGTAGATAGTAATAGTGGCTTACGAACATACGAGATTGGATATATTTGGGTCCAAACGATTTGCTAAAGAAGGTACAAAATATAGAAAAATTTGGTAAAATTTTTACAGATCTTCTATAAAAGAAAGAGAAGGGTAGTTGTGCAAAAGTTCAGACAAATTTGATTTCGTTTGCATGCCTTTTTTGTTTTCAAACTTTCCTTTAAAAGTTTTATAGCATTTTAATTTAACTCGATCTAGTTTTCGTAAATTGTTGTTTGCTTAGTGATATAGATAAACCATTGCAGGTAAGAGATATTATATTAAAACTAATATTAATCTATATTCAACATGTACCACAAAAGCAACATTTAACATACGTGTATGCATAGAAGAATGTTTCAACATCATCTTTGTATTTGTTGCGGTTAATTGAAATAAAAACACCTTTAAACAGTCTTTTATCATTTGAATAGCTCATCTTAAAATCACATTGTACTGTGATATTATACTCAAATATCAACTATATAACCTGTTACATCTCAAATCTTTGTATAATCCCGTTTTAATTCAAGCTTTATTCCTTTAACAATCATTTACCCCCCATGTCAGTGTATTCTTGAGGATCTTCATTACTTGGGGTCTTCAATTTCCTGGGCACCTTGATGGGCGTTTCATAGCCCTCTGTATTAGTTATTTTATCATCAGCAATTTTCCCTAATTCTTCGTTCAGTTCTTTTTCTCTAATTTCGCATTTTTCTAAGGACTCGGTTCTGGACAGGTAGTTCAGTGGATTGATTTCGGAAGATGTGTCATCCAGGATACTTTCTGAAATACAAATATAAAATTTTTATTACAAACAGGCTCATATTTATCAAGTTTTTTGTAAATTATTATATATAAACTAAGATAATTTGGCTTTACTTACAGCAGAAAAACATTTTTTTGTTGTTTGAGCCTTTACTTAAAAGATTTTTTATAAAATATTTTTATTAAGTTAAGTTTCGTTGAATCCTCCTAATCATATAAATTAATAGTCATATAAATATAACAATAAAACTACACTTAAAACAACAAACATACTGCAATATATTCGGACCAAAATAAATCAAAGAACTCGTAGGAGATATTAAATAACTGCAATTATAACAAAACTTGTGAATGCAACAATTTTTTCTAGAAAAAAATTAAAGACCACTTAGTCGAAGGTTAAATGAGGAGGATTTGGACAATAAAAATAGAGACTTTGATAGTTCCAGATATATCAACATGCCTGGGATAATGAACACATAGTAAAAATAAAAGATGCATCAATATTTATGCAAGAAACAGGTAACAAAAATAGAAAATTGAAATATGCAGACCTGATCATACTAAATTAAGACAAATGCGTAGCAAACACATCAATAGGATGCAATAGGCACTGGTTATCAACTTTTTAATAAACAGTCAGCAATAAAAACAATACCAACATTACCGAGTTGGTTGCATGTTAAAGACATATTAACTAGAATATTAAACTGCATAAGCACCGAAAGCAGAGAAGATGGTAAGAGGTACAAGATGTTACAGTGGAGCAGAGAGAACCACATTGATATACTAAAAGAATTATTCAATTCAATAAAATCTACTATATTAGGGAAATTCCGAAAGAATGGGTAATAACTGAGTTCATTCCAATACGCAAAAAACTCAATGCAATGAAATGTGAAGTATATAGAACGATCAGCTTGATAAACTGTGTTTCAAAAGCTTTTTTGCGAGTGAAACATGAACATGTCAAAGAAAAACTGGACGATAGAATAACAAGAAATCAACTAGGATTTAGAAAAGGCTTTGGCACTAGAGAGGTATTATTTACTATATGAAAACTCACAAAACGCTGTCAAGATGGTAACTGTAACGCGTTCATATGTCTAGTTGATTTTAAAAAAGTCTTTGACAAAGAAAAACAGAAAGCGGCAAACATATTACGTAACACAGAAATAAATGATCAGGATTTAAGAATCATTACAAATGTAGACAAATATGAGATAATACGATAATACGAGTCTTCTTCTTCTTTAAGTTCCATCTTCTATCGAAGGTTGGAAATCATCATGGCTATGCGGACTCTGTTAACTGCCGCTCTAAAAAGTACTCCACTACTGCATTCAAACCATTCCCTTAAGTTCTTAATACAGGATATTCTTCGTCTTCCGACATTTCGCTTTCCTCGGATTTTGCCCTGCATAATAAGTTGTAATAATACGTATTTTTGCCCTCTCATCACATGTCCCAAGTATTCAAGTTTTCGTCTTTTAATAGTTAATATTATTTCCGCCTCATTTCCTATCCTTCTAGCTACTTCCATTATTGACATTCTTTGAATCCATGATATTCGTAGGATTCTTCTGTAACACCAAAATTTAAAGGCGGCCAACTTATTCAGATGAACTTGTTTTAGTGTCCACGCTTCCAAACCATACAGAAGAGTAGAGAACACGTAACATCGAAGAATTCTCATGATAATACGAGTAGGCCAACAAACATCTAAGGAGATACCAATAAAAATATATGTGCGACAAGTATGCGTACTATCCCTTTTACTTTTTAATGTGAACTTAGAAGAGATGTTTAAAGAGGCATTAGAAGACATCAATAAAGGCATATTACTTAACGAAGCACTAGTAAATAATTACTATTTTAATGGGAATAAGGCACAATTAAAGGTTAAAGTAAGTTCATTGCTGTTTAATGTAAGTTTTTTTTCAAAGCACGTGGTGTTCGTGTGTATTGAGGTATAAAAAAGCGCTTTTTAAAAGCTTAAATTTTTTTTTTTTTTTATTATAAAGAAGATCTTTTCGGAATTGTATCATTCCATCATCAGTTTACTAAAAGAGAGAGTAAAAATACCAATATTAAAAACAAGAAAGTTAAAATTTGAATATACAAAAAGAAAAAGTTGGTTTTTTACTACTTACATAAAAAGTTGTTAAAAAACATTGTGTGGCCACATAAAAAACGTTCGATGGACATCTGGATTTAAAAAATAATCTTCATGTTATTTATTCAGGTAAATGCAATAGACTCTTAAATTGTGTGATATTAAAAAATGAAACTGGGGGCATCTTATATGACCCCCTAAAAAAAAAAATTTAAGCTTTTAATAAGCGCTTTTTTTATACCTCAATACACACGAACACCACGTGCTTTGTATTCAACAGGTATACTAGCCACTCCTGGATATCTCCACTTCATGGTTTGTTCCAGTTTCACTTTTAAAAATATAAGTTATATAGCATAATATAAAATACATTATATACTTTAAAGTAGACGACTTTAAAATGATATTGCCAATATTGTTAAGTTGCATTCCTGGGACAACTTTACTGATGAGTTTATTCGATTACATAAAATCAACTTTAACTTGAGAATATCCGTCAGAAAAAATCATAGCCTGTAATTCGTCTTTAAAAAGACAAACACATGCCATGATGACAGTAAAATTCTCTTGTTAGTGATTCTATAGTAAATCATGAGGGAAAACCAGGAAAATACCTCTAAATACTATCCCGACATGGTAAGTATTTGGTCTTACATTTAGTTTATTTTCAATAAACACCAAATTCTGATTTTATATATTTGTTATTTAAAAAACATATAAAAAACATATTTTTATATGTTATTTAAAAAACATATTTGTTATTTAACAAACAAATAACAAGAAAACAAAATTTGTTTAATTTACTAATCTTTGTATTTTGAAAACGATTTCTGTAGTGGAAATTGAAACGTCAACAAATTTACTTTAACCTTTAATTATGGATTCTTTTTCAGCCTTCATTTATCTATTGTTGGACATGGGCCTTCTTTAATTGCTTCCACGCTTCCCTATCTTTTGCAATTCTCATCCACTGCTTTCCAGCTACCGCTCTTATATCGTCTATTTATCTCTTTTTGGGTCTTCCCGCGCTTCCTTTTGTTTCTCGAGATATCCAGAATGTTACTCAATCAGACCATCTGTTGGTGTCGTGTCTTGCTACATGTGCTACCCATCGCCATCTCAATATGGCTATTTTTCTCATGATGTCGGTTACTTTAGTTCTTCGACTTATTTCTGAGGCTTATATTTAACATGGCCCTCTCCATGGCTCGTTAAGTTACTCTTAATTGTTCTGCCATTTGTCTTGTTATTGCCGTAGTTTCCAATCATAAGTTGCAACTGGTAGTATACAAGTGTCATAGGTATTTAATTTTAAGTGTATTGGGATTAAGTATTACTGGACGCCACAACAACAAAATTGTATAAAAAAATCCATATACCCTCACGTAATTTTGAGTTATATAAGGGCATTCGAAAGCTATCCTGTCAGTCATATATGACCGACATGGCCTCACCGTAAAAATTTCCGTCGGTCATATCTGTCTGACATGGCCTCCAGGAGTTGAACAATTTTTTTGGTGTGGCGCCCCATGAAACTTTTTGAGAAAGGCGTGTGGCAGGCAATGCGTTAATCCCTTTTCGGCCCAATTTAGTTTTTTGAAGACATTTTCTAATGTCAAAGTAAATAACTTGGGTAAGATCGTGTCGCCCTGTCTCACAGCTTTACTAAGGTCTATTTTCATAGTTTCCAGATCATCATCTATTTTTACGTCATTATCTAATTTTAAGGAGGGCAGCATATCTTGAATCCACTCTGGCGTCATCCAATGCTGTTAAGAAAGCCCTTTTCACGATACTGTCGAATGCTTTGTGATAATCGACAAATGCCAGATGTAGTGGTATGTTGTACTCTATTGTTTTTTCAATAACTGTCCGGATTGTTTGCAAGTAATCGATACAACTTAAACCCTTACGAAGGCCTGCTTGCTCCACTGTTTGGTATACATCTAGCTTAGTTGGCAATCTATTTGTTATTATTCGTTAGTAGTTTTTAAAGGTGTGACAATAAGCTTATTGGTCCATATCTTTCTATATTTGAGGCGTCCCATTTTTTATGGAATAGAATGACTTTCGCATTTTTCCATGCTTTTTGTATATTATGTCCTTTCAATAGGCATTTATTCAGTAATGCTCTTATTGCCTCTTCTAATGCTGTGCCTCCCATTTTTAGCATCTCTGAAGTAATTTTATCTTCTCTTGGTGTTTTTCCATTTTTCATTTGTTTTAGGGCGGCTTTAATTTCTGATTTTATTATTTCTGGGAGATCCTCTGAGCCTACATTTAAGATATGTTTTGTTGGTATACCGGGGTTCGGAATTGTAGAAGTATACAGCTTCTCATTAAATTTTCGGATTTCTGTAACGATCTCGTCCTTATACGAGCACAATGTTCCACGGTCGTCTTTTATCTTTATGATTTTATTTCTGCCAGTGGAGTTACATGCTTTTAATACTTTTATGTTCTTATTTTCTCTATAGTTTCAAGAATCTTGTTCTATAAGCTCTGAGGTCTTTTCGAATATTTTACTTATCGTTTCTGTTAAGCGCTTAAGAGTCCGGGTTATCTCTGTTTGTTCTTCTTCTTTTCTCTATGTGTTCTATAGTCTCGGGTTTTAGTTTAGCTTCTTTTTGTTTTCTTATTCTGCAACAAAGTTTCTTAGTGACTGTTTGTATGTCGTTAGTTATTTTCTCAGCTAGTTCATCCATATTCTTGTGCTCAAAGGTATTTTCTACTAGTTTCCGTTCTAAGTCCTCTTGGTATTTCTCTTTATTACTGGCTAAGATATCTGCCGTCGGTAAAGGGTTTGTTGTTAATAATTTTCGTCTTTCTCTCTTTACGTTAATACGTATATCGGCACGAACTAGTCTACGGTCACTGCTGGTGTTATATTTATTTAGCACCTTGATGTTTTTACATATTGCTGGAAAGCAATATGTAAAATATCTATTATATTATTATTTCTATTATTTCTATTATCATATCTATTACTGGAAATGATAAAATATAATTTCATTGTTAACCTGGCCGTCAGGGCTACGTCATGTCTACTTTCTTTGTATCTGTTGTTATAGAACGTGTTCAGGCAAACATTTTTTCGGTAATTTGCGATTGTTTCTTCTCTGATGTTTCTGTTGCCTAGACCGAAATTTCCTATTTAGTCTGAGTCACCTGGTATTCACCGCACTATTTATGCATTAAAATCTCCGGTGATGCTAACATAGTGTGTTTTTCCTAGGTCTTTAGCTGGCGTTATAGCTTCGTAGAGTTGTTCTATTGACTCGTCATCTGCAGTGGAAGTTGGAGCACAGCAGTGTATTATCTGTAAGCTATATCGTTTATGTCGGTCAGATAGCTCAGCGGGCTGTGCGGCTGCCTCTCATTCGCTTCACTGTCGAATGGTTCAGTGGATGTGGGATCGAGCCCCAGCTCGGTGTACAGAAAACAAAAAGTCTAACGCAGCAGTTTAAAATTCTAGATGAATCTGCGGCTTAGACTAGAATATGCTGGGATCTGATCGGCCTATGGCGGAGCAACACGGCAAGAGATAAGGGCTTGCGGCTCGGTGATACTCCTCCATAGATCCCTACCGGACGGGCGTAACGCCTAAAAAACCGGATATATATATATATATATATATATATATATATATATATATATATATATATATATATATATATATATATATATATATCGTTTATTTAGTTATAATACAAGATATATCACTCTACATAAGCTTCCAATGTCCCATTTAATAGGCCCTAGTTTGTGTTCTAATTTTTCTAGATGGTCGTTCCTTCTCATTATTCTAATGTTGTATGTAGCAAGTTTAAATCTTATTTTAGATCTTCTGCCTCCTCCAGAATCCGTGAGGCAGTCCATATTTTAGTAGGATTGTGAGTTATAAACTTACCATAATTATGGGTTATTCCCAATTTAATAAAAATTACTTTAAAATGCCACAAGAAAATAGCTTCAGAGTAAGTAATACCATACAATACTCACTGCTAATAGTAGATGGGGCTGAAAAGTTTGGATTTTCACACTACGCAGTACTACGAGAAGTATGGAAAGGCCCTGACAAAAAAAATCATGAATGGCGTTAAGAACAAGATAAAATACGAAACAATCTACGTTAAGTAAAAAGCTTTGGAGAAAGTACCCAGATACAACCACTTGGGGTGGGAGCTAAATAAACAACGGGACAGTAGCCTTGACATAAAACGACGCATTGGGAATAGAACGTAGAACTACAGTATTCAGATGGTCATTATTTTCTGTCATTTTATACGAAGAAGCCAGCTTTGAGGTCAGCTTTGAGATATGGTTTTATCAAAAAATGTAAAAAATATCATATATGCAACACGTAACAAAAACCTAAACATTAAAAACACGAAAAAAGAAAAAAAAATAGTCATCACTTTAAAGGAAAGAAAAATAAGCTGCAAGGAAAAGTGGAAGTTAAAAGAGTACCAGGGAGACGACGCTCGTCCTGGTTGAAACATTTAAAGCAGTGGAGTAAAACAAAAACAATAGAACTCTTCAAAACTGTTTCAGACAATGTAAAATGCTTCATGATGATCGGTAATTCTCTTAAAGGATAAGGCACATGAAGAAGGACAAAATTTGGTAATCGCAAAACTTGACCAAACATTTAAGAGAAAGAACTAAACCAGTAATATGATATTTTTAGATGATGTTATAAAATTATGTTGTGCAATGATGTTGTAAAATGATGTTGTAAAATGATTTTGTAACCTGGTGTTGCAAAACACGACGTTATAAAATAATGTTGTAAAGCAATATTTTACAACGATGTAAAATGATGCTGTAGATGTTATTTACTGGTACAAAATGGGAGCGAACGGTAGAACTCTACTCACATTATACAAAAAATCTGATCAGCCCCAAGTTCGATTATGGACACCACGCTTTCTCACCTGCTTTAACAACCACTCTAAAAATTTTATACACTATTCAAAATAACGCTTATAAAATATTATGAGGTGCATTTAGAATAATTTATATCATAATTATTTAACCCAAAATTGGTAAACTACCAATAAATTTAGGAAAACTGGAAATATTATTCTTATATATAATTAAGCAATACTCTTAACAATGTCATAAAACAATCCACTCCCTAAATATTTAGCACAAAAAAGCCCACATTCCATTTTATTAAATATGCAGAAAAATTATAAATGCAATGAACCTCAAAGTCCCGAAATCTATCATGGCAAGATGCCAACTCTCCCTCCTCGGGTACGAGACTGGCATGGGCACGATTTGGAAAACTCAGTTGGATACTGAAGAACCGCAAAATAACTCAGTACTTAAGGAGCAAAGACTTTAGCCAAAAACTTAAACACAGTGTGAAAAACAAAAGTTGAGGATATCACATAAAAAATTTTCAAACTCAAACAAAATCTTCGCAGATCACACTGCTAGTCAAAAATACCAACCTTGGAACGCCACAAGATAAAACTGGAGACCTTAGAAAGGTAGATGATCAAGAGGAGGACTACAGATGAGATGGGTGGACGACATCAATAAAATATCCTGGACAAACTTTAAGTAGATATATATATATATATATATATATATATATATATATATATATATATATATATACTGATCTCAGCAGAGATCGGTGGAAGTTGGGAGAGACCTATGTCAAAAAGGAAGGAGAGAAGGCTGAGACGAAGACGAAACATTAAATTTTAATTTCTTAATTTTTCTTCTCTTAACAGTTATTCACTGATTAATCTAAGACCGAGCATTGTGTAGCATCGGCCTTGGTGACAAATAATGAAATAAAGAAATACTAACTAGTAGAGACTAATACTATCTTAACAGAAAAACTCACTACAAAATATAAAGTCAGATGTCACGTTACAAAAAGTCCTGAAATTAACTTCTTAAGCTATTAACTCCTTTATGTTAAGTTTTGATACTTTTACTATCAAGCGAACATTAATTGTTTGTATGCCTACCTTCATCATCTTTTTCTTCATCTCCCTCTTCTTCAAATGGGGATATAAAATACCCCCTATTGTATATAGCATTATTTGATAAATTGATATACTCCATTTTGTCTTCCAGTAACTTTGCAAACCATTTACTAAGATCCTGGAAGGATGGCCTTTGTTCTGGATCGATGCTCCAGCAATTTCTCATAATTTTGTACCTTAAACATAAAGAAGGAATAATTTAAGTTATGCGTTGGCTGAGATACCAGACTAAGTATAACTAACAAATTTATAGTACGAATTATTCATTTTGAGAGTCATGGATTATAGATACTGATAATGTACAATTTTATAGACTAAGCAAAAAAAAGCCTTTTTTCTGACACTGTTTGATATAAGTATCTAGCAAACGTTTTTGATAAATTTGGTGATAATAATATGTAATAAACAAAATATTTAAATTATTTATCAACATTTTTTACTTTTTACTTTAAATTTTAAATAATAAAGGTGAAGACCGGTAAATAATATGGAAAAGTGATATAATTTGAATGCACATGTAGAATTGTATCATTTTTATTTTCCTCGTTATATGTTAACACACCGAAAAATATTTTCAATCTTTTTGCGTCGCTAATATTGATAATATAAACATTTTTATTTTGTTTATATAAAACAGATGGGTATTTATTTTGATGTTTATTCCGCCTATTCGAGATTTTGTTTATCAAATGAATAAGAATATTTCCGTTTATGCTTTTTTTAAACCGGGCGAATTATGTCACTCTAAAATGGACCACGATAGGAGTCAGGTCATTGTTTAGTCCGGATTTTTCTTTTTTAAATTCGTAATGGTTTTTCGTTATCTATTTTTTGTTATCGGGAATTCAGTAATGTAAACTGTAGTAACAGTTATAGAAGACGAAGAAAAACGGTTAAGGAGAAAGATTTTAGATTCGTAAGAGATATATTTTGGCGTGTAGTCTTCAAAGCCGGCAATTTTTTCCGTTGAGAGGTGAATTTCGGCTCCAGATGCTACTTGGCAGCTTTTGTTGAGGTAATCACCGATGGGTTGTGCTGTGTCCTATGTAAGAGATTTGTAAGACGGCGTTCTTAACCATTTAAGAGGTTTACATGGTTTTAAGAAGGAATTGAGTGGCCTAGTTTTAAAGACTGCAATTCCCAGAATTTGTCCATATAACTAAAAAGTTATAAATGAATAAAATTATAAGTTCTATGGATTACCTACTTGTCATATTAGTCTTCTTATAAATAAACTTACCTTTTATAGTTTAATTAACCCTAGAACAGCACAGTTCGTTCATCTAACATAGACTGCACAGTGGGGTCTCGAAAACCCTAATTGTTTTTTTTTAGTAATAAATGTTATGAATTTTTTTTCTGCGGTATGTAGTACAAAACAACAAACAACAATATCTTATTTTCAAAATATATTTATTAAAAAAAAACATTTCTCATTAGATCTGATAAACGTGGAAAAACATAAACTAGTGCTTTTATTACACTTTATTGAAAATATGGAGATACGACCAAAAAAATTAAACAAAATTCCAGTGAAATAAAACTTTTCTCTTAAAAGCCCTTTAAACTAAAATAAAATATAAATGTTGTTACAAGATAATTATTTCTTACTCTTAGCCAGGCACTTCAACTTTGGTTCTGACACATATAACATAATTGAGCCCGATGTTCTAAACAGTACGGTTTGTGGCACAACGAACAAGCAGAACTCGTTTTTCGATCCCTTCCACGAGGACAAAAGCAGCATCTAACCTTTTTAGGCAAACTAACATCAAAATTATCTCTTTGAGGTACACCAACTCCTAATATTTCGCTAATTTTTACACGTAGGGTTGTTGGCAAATTGGTAACTTGTAGTCTTTCCCTTAAGTGCGGTTCAATTAATGCAGTTGAAAGTTCTTTTAAAAATGTTTTTCTATCGTGTTTTCGGTCATCTTTCCATTGGGGATTTGCAAGTGAAAATAGAACCATAGCATTTATTCCGCTAGCATCCAACATATTGAAAAACATTCTGAGAGGCCAGCGTCTAGTTTTACGGGAAGTCGTGTAAGAGTGGCACATCTGATCAAAGGTGTCTGTGCCACCCTTTGTTTCATTGTAGGAATGTACAAGATTTGGTTTTCCGGTCAAGGTATTAAGTGATGAATCAGGATGCAAAGTTGATAAAAGTAGTACCACTTTATTTTCCTTTGGAGTGTACGAAACTAGCGTTTTGTTTCTGTCGAAAGCAAATATGGATGTGCCTACATCTTTTTTTTGTGTAAACTTCGGAGGTATTTCCCTTTTATTTTTTCGCAACGTTCCAAGGATTGTTAGCTGATACTGTTCCATCATTTGTTCACTTAGAGGTATTGACGTGAACCAGTTATCCATTGTTATGTTACGGTGAGTACCGTGTATTGGTTCAGAAAGTTTTCTGACATAATATGTAGGAACTGACTCATTATTCTCAACATCAACTTTTCCAACGTATGGAATGGCATTCAGCATATAAAATGTCTTCGAATCATTTATCATCATTACTTTCATTCCATATTTATCAGGTTTGCTGGCCATGTAAATTCGGAATGGACATTTTCCACGAAAACTCACGAGCTGCTCATCAATTGTACAGTTCTCATAGGGCGTGTAGTATAGCTTGCAATTATTTATAAAAATGTCCCATATTTGGCGAATATGGGTAAACTTGTCAACCAATTTTCTAGCATTTCTGTCTGTTTTGTCGTCAAACCTCAAGCAAAGAGCTAAAAACTGAAATCTTTGTTGGGGCATGGTTGCCCGAAATAGCCCATTGCCATATTTTATTGACCAAAGCTCATCTAAATTACAATTTGAGACTCGTAATGCACCAGCGAGATACAGCAAACCAATACATGCTTTGACTTCTATGTTGTTGGTTATTTTTTTGTAACTCTGCGGCAAGCCACTCTGACACTTCCTAAGAATTTCTTGATTTGTATGCAGCACAATAATGTCCACAATCTCTTGAGAAAATAGTAAATTCCAAGATTCAACAGGGCTACTAACATTTCTTGCTTCATTTTTTAGACCAGGCAAATGTAAAACGATGTTATCCTTTCTTGGACGTCCTTGTCGTGCTGGTGCCTGTGTGGTCCAACGATGACCATTTTTTCCCAGTATACTGGCGATATTTCTTTGCGAGGTATTGGGTTCTGTTTGTTCTTCTTCATTATCGTCGTCACTTTGTTGTTCGTTATCAGTGTCAGACTGATGTTCAGGAACATAAAGATCGTCTTCATCTGATGAGTCTCCAAAATCATCTTCGATGGTCTCTGGTTCATTTTCATTCGCCCACAGGTTTTCAGCTTCCCACTCTAATTCTTTTCTGGTTAGTGGACGCTGATATTTTCTCTTAGAATCTGCCATACTAGCAAATAACAAAACATCACCTCAAAATTTTAACACCGTTTAACTGCACACTGGGGTCCGAAGTACCCACAGATCTACTAAAAGCGTCACAGTAAACTATACAACAAACTTACGCGGCGCAGCGACTGTCTCTCAACGTAGTCGGCTCTTAACTGAATTTACGTGCAAGGGATTGCCAAAAGACGCAGACATGCGCAAGTTACATTGAACGATTCATGCGCCTGGGTTTTTCAGACCCCAGTGTGCAGTTCTAGGGTTAATATTTCAAAAAGGTTTAATATTTCATTTCGACATGCCAGTCAGTATTATGGAATACTTGGAGCTTCTTAGATAGGAAAATATTATTGTAGACATCAAGCTGAAATGGAATTCCCTAATTAAGAAAGGTTTTTAATCCTTCCGTCTTAATACTCTGTATGAAAAGAACCAAAATGCTTTCCGGTATGCAGTTTCTTTTCCATAAATTGGTAATTTTCGCCGAAGGTCCGTATCTTTTGACAATAATATAATTCTAAGGATTTTAATATTCTCAGGTCCAATTGTTAATACCGATTATTTTACCTCAAACTTTCCAATAGTCGTTAAGGCCTTACCTTCTGAGAAATACATACGACTGTCCGATGATTTTAAGTGGGGGATATACCTTCTTCTTCTTTTTTCTTGGATAGTTGGTGAAATTTTGAGGGAACCAACTTACTTCTCGGTGGGCTCTTGTTGAGTGAAGTGATATCTCGTGATGCGCTTTGCTCACGATATTTCTTATCTTATCGTCGCTGTGAATTATTTTCTAAGTGTGTGTACACTTCATATTTGAGTTTTCTTTCCATAGACTATATTAAATTATATATATAGTTCTACACTACCTTTAATGGTTATTAAATTCAGTGTTTAGTACCAGAAAAGTATTAAATTCAGTGAATTAAGCTGCCTTCGTCAACATCTACTGTAAGTAACCTTTATCTACAATTATCTGGGCGAGTAATATGGTATGGTACCATATCACCTGCCATTATCTGGACGTATCATCTATATCTTCACCTGTAGATTGCCGATTTTTGAATGTAATTGAACCATTCAAGAAATTTCTATAAATATTACCTATGAACATACAAGTCTCAGTTTTTTATTAAATAATAGTGTGAGATAGTTAATTGACTTAACCAAGTGCGGTTTGGTTTATGTTTTCATTCCTGTAACTTTTTTGTTTTTTTTTTGTAAATTTAGAGTTAAGTAATTTTTGCTATCTTTTGTATTTCCTATAATTTTTGTTCATTATCTTTCCTATGATATCTCGAGATACGCCAAACTATATTTGTATATGATTGCCTTATATATCTTGGTAAAGGTATTTTTTATTACATTATAGCTTAATTTTATACATATATAACACCATTTCATAGTTGTGTATTTTTATTACCTGGGTTGCATTTAGCAGCATCATAATTTTGTGTTTAATATATTGTTATTGTTTTATGCATGTATTTTATTTGTTGACACCTAACACGTTCCCTGATAAAATTATAGCTCTGAACAATTACTATCTTTAAATATTACTATGCTTTTGGACTGTAGAAAGATCAGGCTGATTAAGTTTCGTAGGTAAGTAAGTGTAATACTTTACTGTAATATGTTTATTATTTGTTTATATATTGCGTTGACCAGATTTATTTGATAATTTACTGTTGGTATCTTTCCTTGGGTTTGATCTCTGAACCTAAATATCTTTTCTTATCTCTTTTCTTTTGTAAGGTTTTCTTAATTTTCTCCTTAACCCCAAAAAATTGAGTGGCGCCCTGTTTCTATCTTCTCTTATCTTTGGTAATTTTACCCATCTATCTTTTTGTTTATTTCTGTATCTTTTCTAATATCTCTTATCCTATCTTTACCTATTTCTTCCGTTGGATCCATTCCCGGTTCCAAAAGCTAGTTTCGAACCCACGACTCGCTCTCCACCAACCATCTGGCTGCCGTCCGCAGTGTCTCCATTGGTTATCTTTCTAGCACCACCCAAAAAAGATTTCCGAGGTTACAAGATACCTGTATTAATGAGTGTCATAGGAAAATAGTTAGTTCTCTGGTCTATTACGTTTGAAAACCATTCTACTAACTATCTTAATAATTACAACCGTTCAATTTCATTTTTAGATTGTCATTTGTACAGGGTTTTTGGAGAGCAAATCTTTTAATAATGCAGTATTGTTTCCTTCTTACTAGTATTGTCGTAGTTTCTAGTTATTAAACATAATTATTTGTTAGCTAAATATTTTGTAGACAATAAATAGTGAATATATTTTGTGCACAAAGTGGATTAATTTACTTGACAGTTAAGTACAAGACAATTAAGTAAATAAAACATATTTTATTAAACATTTTTCATAAATTAAACTTTTTTTTGTGGCTTTTGTAAACTTTAACAATAAAAAAGTGTGTTGTCTTTGCTGTAATCAAAACTTATTGTAATTATAGATTAAAAACTTATAATATACTCACAAGTTAGGAGAACAGTTATCGGGCCTCTCCATTCGATAACCCTGTCGAAGCAAATGGAATAGATTCTGGACGGCAATGCCCGGATAAGGTGTCGCTCCCAACGTAACAAGTTCCCAAACTAGAATACCAAAACTCCAAACGTCCGATTTTGTGGTATAAATGTGATCTGCAAGTGACTCTGGAGCCATCCATTTTACTGGAACTTAAAATATAAAGTGTCATGATAAAATAAAACAAAAAGGGATAATTTAAATAAACTACAGACATCATGAATACAGCATAAACATATATTAGATAGTTTTACCTCAGAGTTATTCAGACCTTAATAATGCACAAAAAGAACAAAAAAAATTGATAGTGGCAAAAAAATGCAATTTTTCAGGAATACTTAATAAAACTAGATGCATCCCAAACCACTAACTACTCGTTAGGGTTAGGCTATAAAGACATTACAAAGGCAGAATTTTAGCTATGCAATTTTAATTGATTAGGTCAGAAACAGGAAAAATTACGAAAAGTCCGCTAAAAAAGCCGAAACAATTACGACAGATCTTAAAAAAGTGTTAAATGACGAAAAATACTCACTACAAACAGAAAAAGAGATTATTTCAATACTCGTAAAACCTTATTAACTGAAGTTTCCTGAAAAAATATTTACAAAAAATAAAGTAGGGAATATTATACAGCACAAAATTAATTCAAAAAAGGCCCAACCCAAGATACAAGTTTATTATATACACATAAAATTATAACTATAGAATTTAAAATAATTAAATAAACAATCATTTTAACTTACCTCTTCCTTTGCTACGTTTAAGATATGCATTGTCTTCATATACATCTCTAGTTAACCCAAAATCGGATATTTTGCATACTTTGTCATCTGCTAATAAAACATTTCTGGCAGCTAGGTCTCTATGAACGAGCTAAAATAAAAATGAGTAGCTAACGACTTATAACTTTCTATATTCGCTATAATCTGCTAAAACCTTTTATAAATATGTGTCCAAAAAAATAAATATCAAGCCTAACTTGCTCTTGATGTGACACTAGAGTGGACTAACCACAGTGAAGATTTTCATTCGGGCCGGTCAATTACAACAAGGTTTTTTAACTAAGATTGTATTGGCCCTCCGATAGAAGATCGCTGCATACTTGCAACTGGAAAATGCATGAAAGCAGCGTAGCTTTTCATCGAACATTAAGCTAGTTTTTAATCTTGACGAAAGTAACACTTATTATGACTGAGTATCCCGTTTACGAAATGCAAACAGGTGTTAAAATGGTCTATCAAAGTACTTAGCGAACAAACGTCTGTCTCAAAAAACACTGATAGTCCCTGTTCTCACATATGGATCAGAGGCATGGACACTAACTAAAACAGATAAATCCGCTCTATCGATTTTTGAAAGAAAGGTGCTATGCAAGATATTTGGAGCGGTCTGTGAGAACGGAATATGGAGGCGTAGATATAACTTTGAACTGCAGAATATCTACAAGCATACGTTTGGTGGTAAAGATTTTACCACTATATTTAAGCGAAACCGCCTGCAGTGGGCAGGACATGTAGCCCGGGCCCCTAAATCGAACATGATAAAAAAGATTCTAACAGTGCAACCCGTGGGAATGAGAAGACGGGTTAGCCCTCTGACAGCCAGCGGTACTTAAAGTACATACCTCTAAAAAGCCAAACCCCTTATTTATTTAGAGAATATTAAAATAATTAATTAAAATTGATTTCTGTTTCATCCGTTACATAAAAACATCTTTTATTTCAAAATTTCTCTATTTCTTCTTCGTTTTTCAGAGACGGTACACCTAAGTACTTTTGGCCGAAAATGTCAACAAACTTTAGGTATTGAAATATGTATTTGATTGGTTTTTAATTGTATCAATATAATAAAATATTAAACTTTGTAATATAAAATAAAACAATTTTTTTTCTCATTAATACAGAAGAACACACCACATAGGGAACAGGTAGGACTAGGCTTGGATTGTATTACAGTGAGAGAAATGATTGAGAAAATGATTGAAAATAAAAAAGGTTGGAATAACATACACAGTTATATCCGTGCAGTGATCAAGAAAAAGGGATAGGAAGAAAGAAAGTTGGACCAACGGCAAAGGTAGAGTGAATGATGCTGAAAGGTGAAGTTAGAACAGTGGGTCACACTTTTTGAGTTAGAATGCGTGAATTTGACTGTGAGGAAGGAGGAAATGCCCTTCTGGTAATGATGCCGAACTAGGAGTGTGGATGTGTATAAATGAAGAATGAATGAATAAAGGTAGTGCTTCGGAAGTGATGCCGGCCTTACAGCGACCATTCCGCTTCCGGATCGCTAGATGACAGAGGAGGGTCTGGTTTAGCAGGTAGGCGTTCGGCGTAGACTCGGCGACGAGAGGGCATTTTAAAGTACCTCGGGAACTATCGCTGGGAGTACGAAGAACGAATCCTGCACTAAGGTTAGTCAGGCGGCGTCCTGGACTGTGATATTTTTGAAGATTCCAGACCCCCCCCCTCTATAAAGAAGAAAAAAAGGCTTGGATTGTATATCACATGCACTACACATCTCACATCTTCCTCTTTTTGCTTCAAATTTGGGCCAGTGGTTACTACGATTTAAATGTCGAATAGTATCAGCTACACTAGAGTTGTAACGTCTTCTTTTTGAACTTGGTTCACCTTGTGAACGTTAAAGGCGCTGAGTGGTAGGACATTCAGATTTTCAGAGAAGCCTCATTATCATCACGTTGGTATTACAATAAACCTTTTTTTTGTCTAAAAGCTGTTTGGATATTACGTATTAATTAATGAATGTAATTTTAATGCACCCCCAAAATATTCTGTGCCACCATTTGTTTGATCTCATATTAAGCCCATAACATTGGAGAAGTTGATCAGGGTAATCTACTCCAAGTTTTTTGGGTTACCTTTTCTCTTTAAACGTATTGTACCACATCTCAATATTTTTTCAGCTTGTAAGTTTTCCAGTAATATTACTGGAAATTTTATAGTAGTAAAAAAGTTATCAAAATATACAATTCTATGCTTTCCCCCATTCATCTTCAGTCATTTGCAAAACAACTCGTTCACTGATTTGATAGTTTTTATATTTATTATCTAAAGCCTCGTTTTGCCTTGATATATATTAATTTTTTTATAAATCCTTTTATATCAGAAATACACTATAACTTGAATACACTTTTTGGGTTTCATGGGATTATACTAATTTATGGACGAACGACCTTTGAATTTAACAATGGATTCGTCTACACACACATTTATATACTTGTACCAGTATATAAATTTCCAAATTGGTAATTCAATATCTTTGTCAGAGATCCTACTTTATACAATTTGTGTTCAATCACAAATTAATAACTTAATTTGTAATCTCACATTATTCTTAACTTCTTAATCTTTTATAGTTTCAACGTGTATAAGTGGAAAATTGTAAAACCACATCGTATAATATTTTAATAATTAGTTCATTTACCTACAACTAAATTAATTGCCGAATAATATATTTTCTAATTGGACTTCCTAAGTGTCGCAATTACGGCCTAGATTAAATTGTAATATAAGCTAATAGTTCAAAGTTTGTTGGTATGGTATGATAGAAGCAATAACCTCTGTGCTGAGGTATGAATTATTTGCAAGATTATAAATTGGGGATTTGAGCTCATGTGGGCACCGTCTATCATAAGTAGTTACCTAACGAACATCATATTGTGTAGTTACCAGTAGCTGTTAATAAAATCTTCTACATAACTTCAACCTTCAATTATATTTATCATCGTCGATCGACAAGAAGCGATAAAGGGGCATTAAAAAACGATTCGAACCTCATAACTACGTTCGAATCTTAGCCAATTTGTCTTTATTGTCCTTTGGTTTCATTGAGTTTCATTGGATTCAGTTTAAGTGCAAATTACAGGGAATTTCTTTGAATTTTTTTCTTGTCATAGTTTTTGTCACAAGTGGTATTTGGAGATCAGAGGAAGTGAACCAATAACTTTCGATACTGAACAAGATGTGGTACCCCATAAAAAAATTCAGACCTACGAATACTAGAAATTCATTATTCGTCATTTGCAATTTTTTTCCTTTTTGGGTTTCGTATACATTCGTCTGAAAAACGATATGGTCTATGAAATCTCCCAATAATTAAAAAAAAATATCTAAAGAGGTTTGGCATTCGGCAAAGTTTGGTTTCCAATCATTTTCAGATAAATTATAATCTGGTATTTTATTATCTCTCTTCTCTTTTTTCAATATTCTTTCCAAATTGGCCTCTCTTGATAATGGATTTTGAATTTCTGTATGTTCTCCTTCAGCGACATGCGATTTCCCTTCAGATTTATACTCTTTTAATTCATGTGGTCTTCCATAAATTCGTGTCATTTGAGCAGCAGAAAATAAATCCACAACGTTCTCTTTCAAGTCAGATTCAATATCTGTATCCTCATTATTGATTAAAGAAAGATCATCGAAATCATCATTTTCAATGATTTCAAGTAGCTGGGCATCGGTTAGAGGAATTTTATTTCGATTTCATGCCATCTGTAAATGTAGAAAAAAAAATCATATATTACTAGCTTAAGGTACTTATGGGTACCATTTAAAAAACGGCCTATATGAAAGCTCACATTACATTGCAAAGTTTGTACATTACCCAAAATTACAAGAAAAATACTTACATTTATAAATTTGTATCCTTAGCACCTGTATTTTCAAGATATTTGCTCAAGGAATTTGTCCGTTACAAATAATAAACACAGCACGATCATCACTATGAAAAACATCAGTGCACACTAACCGTATTACAGAGAATATCGAGAGACAAAGCAGCGTTGTCGCTACTTTTAATCGTAAAAATACGAACTAAACAAAGGACTTGAATGTACCGTTACCTAAACTCACGTGAACTGAACATTCAAAGTTGATGGTACTCAAATATACCTCTGGACGTTAAGGGTCGGGAAACTTTATATTCTCTGGCCTTAAAAGAGTGAGACCAAAGCAAGGGACAGGCCCGAATAGCGTAGAAAGCTTGAGAAGGTCGAGGCCCTCTAGGGGCTGTAGCACCAAGATGATAATGATGATGCCGTTTACGAAACGCTGCATTTTATTTCTCACCTATACCAATAATTATGGAACGATAGGTGGTCCATGTTAGAAAAAAAATGTTATAACCAGAAATGAACCTACAGAGAATATCTACATGATTTGAACAGATTAAAACAAGAGATTGTATTTTTTATTATAAATACAAAAATAACAAAAACTTAACTTAAGTTTAAAAAGTATACCAGAGTATACAACTTTTTTTTTTCCAACGTCATATTCGTCATAAAAGTATTAATTTTTGTGACGCCATTGACAATATAAAAATGTTACTTTTACGCCTACATATAAAAGTGAAGCAGTTTTATGTCTAGACCGACACAATAGTGTGCAAGTCAGTTAATCGCAGTGGACTTGGTAGGCAACAATTCTTTCGGTTACAGTCTTTGCAGTACACAAAATGTCTGGAGGATTACGCCATACCGTAAGATATTCGGAATCAGATATCATACTTGTATTTTTCGGCGACAATTAGCACAAACGTTTAAAAAACTTTACAATAAGTTGCGCAGTAGTGCAAAAATCGAGGATTTTACTTTTTTGTCAAAGTAACAATTAATAGAAGTTATAGAAGATTTTGATCTAAATACCTTTCATTGTTTCCTACTAACAATACATCATCACATTTTATTATATTTATCCCGAATACATCCAACCTGAATAAAATATTTTACTTTATTTGCTTTGTTTGGTTATTTTACATATTCAACATTTGGTTGTATCAAGTTAGTATATATTTGTATACGCTTCTGCCTTAGTTTTTGCTACTGCTACTTTCGCTTTTTTTTTAGCGACCGTATAGGTTTGACCCATTTCCTTGCCACAATTTTTATCATTTTTCTACCAATATATTATACACTATACAACCTAAATAAAGGTAGGGATCATAGAATGTCAAGTACACCAATAAGAATTAACATCAAAACCAAAAAAGAAAACTTTTGGAAAGACATAAAAAAGTACAAAATACAACAGTTAAATGAAATACTACAAGAAAAAAAGACATATGAGACTGGAAGAAGAAAATAAACGTAGAATTCTACGATTGTTTTGCAGATAGAAATCTAATTAATAACGAGAACATGGAGATTACCGAATTTCAAAAATAAACACCATGATAGAAAACTACTACCAAACATTATACTATTCAAAAGTAACACCACCACCAGATAAAGACGAAAAACACTAAAAAATAGTTAAAAATATTGGATCTGAAGATATATCAGATATAACAGAGGAAATGAGCAATATGCGAAATAAAAATGCTCCAGGTGATGACGCATAGTAATAGAAATTATAAATATTGTTCTGAAGCTATTTTCTTGTGGCATTGTAAATTAATTACTATTTATAACTGGGAATAAGCCACAATTAAAGATAAACATACGTTTATTGACGTTTCAATTTCCAATTCGGAAATCGTTCTCAAAATACAAACCTTTCCGAATTGGAAATTGAAACGTCAATAAACGTATGTTTATCTTTAATTGTGGCTTATTCCCAGTTATAAATAGTAAGAAATTATAAAGTATGGCGATCAACACATCATAAATGCTAAAAAATATCTTTAATAAATGTATAGAAATTAGTAAAGAATCTACAGTTTGGTAAAATGCTTTAATAAAACTGATATTAAAAAAAATAAATGTAAATTAGAAAGCTGTGGCCCATTACCCTGTTATCAGTTTTGTAAAAGCTGTTTGTGAAAATAATTACATTGGGACTAACAAACATAGTGAAGAGTTATAAGACTGTGGAGCAGCCAGGATTTAAAAGAGGTTGTAGTACCATAGATCATTATATACAATCAATAATAACAGTAGTTAAAAAAATCGAATCGAATACAATATAGCACTTTGGATAGCTATGGTGATTACGAGAAGGCATTTGACTCAATTAAAATTTGGCCATCTTAACAAGCGACAATAGAGTTAATGACTGATACACAAAAATCTTTATGTAAAAATTGTAGTGATTTTTTGTTACCGGTACTGACATATGAAGCTGAAACATGAGCTTTTCACATAAACAAATTCCACAAATTTCAAGTGACTCACAGCTGTGGAACAGAGAATGCTTAACATTAAGCTTAATAAAAGTTACAAATGTCATCCAAAAGATTGCCTTTCCATAAAATGGAGCTGGGCATTTAGAAAGAATGGAAGACAACTATTGAACGAAGCAAATTATTACATGGTGACCAAGAACAAAACAAGATAAGTAGAGGCAGACCTTAAATCAGATGGACTGATGACATCAAGCGAATGGCTGCTCACGAATGGATTCAAAAAACAACAGACAGAAATTAATGGGCAAACTTAAGGGAGGTTTACATCTGACGATGGATATAATAGCTGTTGAAAATGATGATAGAACCTAAAACCGTAGCGAATCTAACTTCCTGTTTCCCTTATTTATCTACCACAAAATAATACGCACTCTCTACACAACTTTACGGTGTCAAACGGTGAAGATTAAAAGCAATAATTGTACATACCAATAGCTTTTGGAAATGAGGTTGCATCAAGGCTTGCTGCGAATAATTTGAATGGATATATTGACAAATGTAGATGTATTGAGATCAATAGGTAAAAAGATAATATTTTTAATAACTGTTAAAAATTCTTCATGTAACAAAGTTGAGGGTAGGAGTAGTTTGAGTAGAAAAAACAATCAGTAAAAGCTACAAAAATGGTTCAAAATACCAGAAGCATAATACGAATGGCACAAACCAAAGAAGGATAGGAAATAAACTTTGAAAATATAAATGTTTTTAATAAGATACGTACCTTCATATCACTAAGATAGCCCATTCCATTGCAAATCTGCCATGCAAATGATAGAAGATCTTTGGGAGTGATGTCGCTTACTTTCGGTTCATCGTAGTGACCAACTGGATCATCTTTCAGTAAAATTTGAGGTTCTGTAGAATTGTTTTGTAAATGTCTGGTTCTTCTTAAATAGTTTCTATAAAAATTAATTAAAAATAAGTAAGTTTATTATTAGCGGGTAGCGGGTAGGTCCGCTTTTAGGTTTCAATTAGAAGATAGATCTACTTCAGGGGTATGACCATATTCACGTGAGTCATAATTACCTCCAAATCTCCTAGTATCTGGGAAAATTATATTTTCTCATTCCCCTTTTTCTTTTTCAAGTCCAATTTTCTATCGTAGATTGGAAATCATCATGATTATACAGATTCTGTTGACTACCGCTTTAAATAGTTTTGCACTACTGCATTTAAAGTTTTTCTTTCCATATCCTATTCGAATATTTTAAAAGAAACATTAATAGAAAGATAGACCGTAAGGGAAATGGTCCTTAGTCGGTTAGATACTAAAAGTTTTAATAAATTTTGGACTAAGATTCAGAAATCAACGAGAACCTACTTCATTACACTGTCCTGGTATAATCATTATGACAATTAAAATACAAAATAGGTCCTTTAGTCCTTGGCAGACTTTTGATAGTCAAAAGGGGTAGTAAGAATTCCCAAGAGGAATTTAACAATTGGAACGTAAAAGGTAAGAAGTCATTTTTAAGCTGGTAAATTACATAATTGAAAAAAGAGATAGCTATAGTGTATTTTTATGTATGAGGGAGTAATAAAACAATAAATTATGTATGCAAATCCCTAAACTGTTGATACGGGTGACTCAATGAAAAACAGATATTTGTCAACAAGTTTACAGAAGTATATAGGAAAACAATTTTAAATTGAGTATGACCACCAGGTATAAAGGTTGGAGCAGAATAGAATACAATAGTTGTGAGGATTACTAATCCCTAAATAAGGTTGCCAGTCTCGGAGTGATGGAGGTTAGCAGGTACTAATAAATTTGCAAGAAATGTAAGATGTTTATTTTATTAGTTATATATAAAGTGAAAATATGGTTATATATAGTGAAAGTGTTGATGAGACCGTTGAGTTAGTTAGCAGTACACTTGGTGTTGGGAAATCTACGATTTACAGAGTTATTAAAGAAGAGAAATGTGGTAGTTTTCAAATGCCACGTAATGCTCCAGGGAAACCAAAATTTCAAATAGAATATCATTTTAAAAAAGAACTTCGACAGAAAGTGCATGAATTTTTCTTTAGACAAGAATTTCCAACATTGGATAAAGTTCTTGTCTCAGTCCAAGATGATAAGGATTACCCAGAAATGAGTCGAAGTACGTTATGGAAACTTTTAAAAGAAATAGGCTTCCGCTGGAAAAAGAATCCCAGAAAGTCTATTTTATTAGAAAGAAGCGATATTGTCATATGAAGAAGACATTTTCTAAGAACCATAAAGAAAATGAGAAACCAAAAAAAAAATATTTTATCTTGATGAAACATGGATCAACGAGGGTCATACACTAAATAAATTTTGGCAGGATGAAACTGTTACAAGTCAAAGGCATGCTTTTGTAAATAACTTATCTACTGGTTTAAACCCACCATCAGGAAAGGGACGCAGGCTGATAATAGTACACATTGGCAGTTCAGACGGTTTTGTTGAAGGTGGTTTATTAACTTTTGAATCACTCGTATCGGTGACTACCCTGAAGACATGAACGCTGATGTCTTTCAATAATGGTTCGAACAAATGATAGATCTTCTTCCTAAGAACTGTGTAATAGTAATGGATAATGCAAGTTATTACTCCAGACTTATAGAAGGACTGCCCACAACCAAGTGGTTAAAAAAAGACTTGCAGAATTGGCTGAGTTCAAAAAATATTACGTACCATCCCGGATCTAAAAGAAAGGAACTTTATTCGTTGTGTGCCCTTCATAAAGAAAAAATTAAAAAATACGAAATTGATGAAATTGCCAAAAATCGTGGAATGACAGTACTTAGATCCCCACCATATCATTGTGAATTAAACCCGATTGAACTGGTATGGGCACAGATAAAGAGTGAAGTTTCAAGAAAAAATACTACTTTTAAAATTCTTGATGTTAAACAGTTGTTTTTGGAGGCCGTAAATAATGTAAAACCTGAAAACTGGGAAAAGGCAGTAAATCACACAATTAAAGAAGAGGAAAAAATGTGGAAGCTGGACAATATTACTGATAAAATGATCGAGCCAGTTATTATAAATCTTGGTTCTGAAAGTTCATCTTCTGTTACCGATTTGGATACGTAACAAGTAGCTGTAAGTTTTATATTAATATTTTTATTTATCTATTTAACATACCTTAGACGGTTTTAAAAACTCTTTTTCTCTTTTGTAATTTTTAAAAATTAAAAAAAAATGTGAATTTTTTAAAACCCTTTTTAATGTAGGCCAGTCAGTTCTAATATAGTGTGTGATAAAAGAGGTCACTTTTGTTTACATACACATAACTTTTTATAACACTGAAATAATTCATTTATTTTTTACAATTATTCAAAGTAATTTTTCAATTAATCTTGAGCACGCCCATGGAGTGGTCGGAGATACCAGTTAAAATTATGCTAATTACTCTCTCGTTCATAAAAATAAACTATAGACTAAAAATTAACGTTTATTGAGATCAGCTGGCCGGGCAATGGTAAATAGCCCACAAATAATGGGATACTATATTATTACTCTATTATATTATTACTCTTAGTATCAATTATCTTAGTATTATATTAAATAAAATATTATGTAAGAAATCACATTCTATTTCATTGTTTGACTATTACCTTAGTGATCCGAATTCGGCATATTCAATTATGAGATATACAGGTCCCCCGGGAGTGGTGCTTACACCAAGTAATCGGATAACATTAGGATGAGACACTTCCTTTAGCAGCTGGTATTCGGAAAGCAAATCGTTTAGCTCCGATTCTCTAGCGTCATCTTTTAATGTTTTGACGGCAACTGTTGTGTATCCTATAAAAATAATGAAATATTTGAAGTGGGTATATTTTTACGTTTATCAGATATAATGGGAAATGTTTTTTTAAATAAACATATTTTAAAAATAAGATATTGTTGTTTTTTGTTTTGTACTACATACCACAGAAAAAATAAATACATAACATTTATTACAAAAAAAAACTATTAGGATTTTCAAGACCCCACTGTGCAGTCTATGTTAGATGAACGAACTGTGCTGTTCTAGGGTTAACAGTCATTCATTAGCATTAAAATATGCCGTCAAGATAAGCCCTGCACTCCGTTTTCTTACCGAGATATAGCTATGGCTATGGTTGCTTTACCCTAAAGTTAGCATACCCACTATTTCTTGAAAACGGTTATAGCAATAATTGTTTTCTTTTCGTAATAAATTAGCAATAAATTATAGTGTTGGTCTAAATTCTGCCTTATAAAATATTGGATAATAAAAAAAATACTAATAAAATAATGATTGTTGTAATTTGGGACTTCCTCCAACAAGGTGGTCAGACGATATCAAGTGCATCTAGCACAACGGGATTCAGGGTCCTCAAGATCGGATGCAATGGAAATAGTTATAGGAGGCCTTTGGTCAGCAGTAGATACAAAACGCCTAATGATAATTGTGATGATGTACCGTTATTCTTCCTTATCTGCTTAACATTAAAAATAATCAATTCACATGCTCCAAATAATGGATTTCCCCTGGCATTATTGCACCATGATATACGAATTACAAGGTACAGGATGGACAAAGAATATAAAAAGATAGAACATTAGAAACAAAAGTAGAAACAAAATTGGATTTTCGGACAACATATGAACGATTATGTATGGCGGTAGACGTGCTAAGTTGGGTTGTAATGTAATATCATATATAATGTAATAATTTAATATAGGTTATTTCACGAATATACGACTGTTTTGGATTATTACCACAACAAATATTTTACTGCGCAAGTAGAAGTATGAAAGTAAATTGGTCTAATTATTATTCCAATGAAAAGGATCTTCTTTTAGTATGACATCTAAACTAACATTATTTCAGTTAATAGATGTTCAAATAAATGCAAAATTTATTGTGAAAATTATCCGAACATATCAAAAATTTTTACGCAAACGCTCGTACCAATAAATACAATGACGTCTAAGAAACTAAACGTGTTCATCTGACATTTGGTTTCGATTTCGGTGAAATGTAAATACCAAAGAGGCGTGCCTGGTTTCTTTGGTATTACACTATTTTATTACTTTATTAGGTACTACAACGGCAATAAAAAGAAATATACTATTTTTAATACAAATGAAAAGAAATTGGCAAAACGATGGTTTAGAAACCAGAAGAAGAATCTAATATTTCACTTTGTTAGTTTTAAATATTTGTTTGATTTAAAGGGATGTACTCTTAAAACTTTCGAAAGTAACGGGTATAATATACCGGCTATTGATGGTTAAAGTACCGAGTCGTTACAGATATTAAAAAGTAACAATAATTTACATTCAGTTTCATATATCGGTGACTGTTTTAAAAACCATATAGAGGTGTCCTATGAAGAGACATATCCGTTAAGAGAGAATTTAATGTAGCATATTTGTTTGTACTGTTGATTAGGAGAATAAAGAATAAATAAGTTTTTTTGTTTTTTTAATACTAATTGAATATTCGACTAAATAAATTACACTATTTAATCACTTAAGTATTGTTTCACTTCGTTTAAATCACTTAATTCAAAAATCAACTTGTCTACAATACTAAACTCAATGATAGTAATTTTATACTTCAAAATCTGAATTACAACTGTTCTATAAACTATCAATTCTATGTTTATATCATGACTTCATATTTAAATCTAAAGTAAATCTCTCATAACAGTATTTTAAAAATGGGGAGAATTTACCATTGTACAATTCAGCACATTGGACCATTTAAATCGATACCTTAAAGCGAATTTAAAACAGTCGTATATTCGTGGAATGGAGTATACCGTATACACTGTGATTAGATCGTCACTAATTTATTTTTGCTAATATATTATTTATTTATAATAACAAGTAATCAAGCATATAGTTAAAACAGATTTACTTATTTAACGATGTACAAACCTTGTTTTCCACATATATTATTCGCTTTGGCTCTCAAGACTTTACCAAATTCTCCCTCGCCGAGTGTTTGTTCGATGACGAGCTGTGATCTTGGGAATTCCCATTTGGGATCGGGCTACAAATAACGAATTGTCTTAGATACACCTTATAAAATTTAACACTGACATCATTATTAGAATCGTTAGAGCCTCGAGTTATATAACTATGTGCTTAACGATGAGAAATATGATGCTAGTGAGTTTGAACATAACGTAGTTTTATTACCAAGTTGAGTTTTAAGACTGTGAATATGAAATTTAAAGAGGCTAATATATTTTAAATTGTTTTTCCGGGATTATGATATGTTAACATATATTAATATAATCAAAGGATTGACGAAAAGACAAAGGCTTGATAGAGATGTATGTTATTTTTCATCTGTAATAAACTTCTAGCAGTTTTGTTTAAGGCTACTTTGCATTTTACACTCAAATATGTCAAAGTTTTTTAATTACTATGATAAGTCAATTAGCGTTTAAATCCTTTATCTAGAAAGTAGTTTTTTGCTTTTACTGAAATTTATGAATCTATTGAAAAACTGGGGCTCGAAAACTGAGCAATTCTAATTTTACATTAATTCGCTCTTCACTTACACCGTTGATTATAAACCACCACCTATGGGTAGTTTGTACTCAATGCTTACACTATATACTTTGTTTTTAAATTATTACAGATGGCATATGGCCCACGGTGCCGTCTTTGTAATAAGGAGGAGGAAACTTTCTCACATCTCCTCATGAAGTACCCGGCACAGGACTACCAGAGGAGGCAGATCCTGGGTTTGTTTTTTTTTTTATAACCGAGTCAAATTAGGAAGTTTTTCATGGCTTTCTATGCGGCCACAAGACTACTAAAGGAATAGACGTTTAGAATGGCAGGAAGGACTCAGACTTGGAGCGTCTGCTGATTATTGCAGATATGGGACGCCGGAACAGCCTGGGCCCCAAAAACGCCGAACGTTCTTATGAGCCTATTTCGTACGATAGGGGTGATATTATGGCCCCGTCTTAGGAGGTCTAGGTGTCTAAAGAGTTTATGAACGGGTCCTGCCCTGATCTACCATAACCATAACCATATCCATAACCATAACTTATTACGGGAATACTTCGGAATAAAAAATTCCTAATGCAGAAGGGCTTCTTTTTTTTAATTTCTTTAACTATAATACATTTGAAAATGATTGATAACAGACATTTTATTGCACGAGAGGTAAAACCCAATATAACATCATAAAACTATGGCCGATATTTTCTAAAATAAAATATTCAGCATTGTTCTGAAAATGTTTGGGTTTTAACTAAAATTTTTAAACATGTCAATTTATTTCAATTCTTGTCTTCAATTTTTTAGTCACTTTATTCAACAAATGATATTACGTAATCTCTACGAGTACAAAATATTTGCAATTTCCAAAAAGGAGAAGGTTAGTTTATAAGCTCGCAACCAGTTTAGAAAAGATTGAAAGTTCCAAGCGACAGAACGAGTTTTGCAGATTGTAAATCATTTTATTTAAGATTAACAGATTGTGTTTGTAAAGTCCTATGCTTATAACACGCAGAAATGTTGGTCCTAAGCGATATTATTAAGTGAACTTTTGCAGTAAAAATGTCGCAAACGTCTAATTTTACCCCTGTGAAATTTAAGTATCCTCTAACCTTGTCAATAAAAACTTTAGTGTTAAATGTACATGAAGCTCTTGTACATAAACATTTTACAAATACTGCTCGGAGTATAGTTTCTAAGTGTTTAGATATGACCGGAGTTGCAGAAGCAACTATTTATACACTCTTATAGCAACGAAAGAGTGGAAGTGTTACAGAAGCACCTTAAACGTCAAAATGGAGAAAACCCATTCATATAGACAATATTGTGAACAAATCGATTCAAAGAAAAGTTCATTCATTTTATTACAAAAAAAGATTTTTAATTTGGATAAACGTTTAGTAAACAATAATGACGAGGAATCTTCTCAAACAATAAAAGAGATAAATTATGGAAAACTTTACGTGAATTAGGATTTGTTTATGAGAAAACCAATATAAAATTTTTGCTCATATACAATAAAGAAATAATTTGTTGGAGGAGGCAATACTTAAGGAAAATCCTAAAATTAGAGATAAACAGGTTACAAATGGTCGTCAGATATTTGTAGAAGGTTTGTCTACGGACTTAAGATTTCTAAATGGTAAAAGTGGCCATTAAATTATCACTCATATTGGAGGAGGTACAAGATTTGTTGACGAAGGCTTGCCATATTTTATTTTAAATTCTACGAACGACTACCATAACGGAATAACTGCTGATGTTTTTGAGGAATATTTTAGTTAAATGATAGATTTATTACCAACCAGTTCTGTAATTATCGTGGACAACACCAGTTAGCATTCAAGATTAAAGGAACCGTTACCTAACACTAAATGTAGAAAGCAAGAAACAAACTCTTGAATTGACTAATAACCAATAAAAATAGTGATTCCAGTATAAGGTTTACTCAAAAAAAATATTGCAGCTATGCAATCAATATATACCAAAAGTATAGTGTAGATGAAATAGTAAAAGAACATGGAGTTAATGTTTTGCGATTACCGTCGTATCAATGTGATCTTAACCCCATAGAACTAATTTGGGCTCAAATGAAGGGTTACATTCGTGAGAAATAATATATTTGAACTTCAAGATATTTGAAGTTAAAGAAAAAATTTCATTTGACAATTGTCAAAAAGCTGTGTCATAGTAGAGGAAGAAACATTCTGGAAACTTGATATGTTAATACTGAAAACAATAGAATCCATTATTATTTCTGTGGGAAATAAAGAAACTGATAATTATGATAATGATTACTCCTTATCGAAAAAAAGACAACTTATGTATTTCGGTTATAATTATACGTTTATATTAGTAGTTCGGACTAGTTCGGACACTAGTACTCGAAATATATTTATTATTAAATTATGTCGTTAATTATTATTATTATTAAATTAACGAAATGTCCTAAACCAATAATCAGTATTTTTATAAAAATTATTGTAAATAGGTAATAATGGCATTTTAGTTTTCTTTAAATATTAAAGTAATTTAATGTCCTTCGTCACTGAAGCATTCAGTTATTGCCTAATCCCTTAGGGTGTGCTTATTTGCTTGTAATGATTTAAAGGTTGTCGGTGTGGTCATATTAAAGTCGAGCAAAAATTCAGATAAAAAGTTATTAATTATTACGTTTTTGCTGCATTGACCAACCCTGTTTTTAGACCTTTGCTATAAAATTTGTGATAACAATAATTTTTAAATGTACTATAAATCTGCGTTGTCAGGAAGTTCCAACATGGTTTCTGTAGTATTAAGAAGCGATGACAATATTCCTTGGAACTTTATTTGAGAATCGCTAAATGATTGATAACTTACTCTTACTAGCATAGCCCCAAAGCTGGATGCCTTAAGCCTAGATTTTGGTATCCATTAATATAAAATCATTTGTTGTAGATCATCTTTCCAATAGCCAATAAAGTTTTGATATTTTTACTATTTAGCTTTTTTTCCTTTCTCAACGTAGCCTTTCTAGTGTAGCCTGACATCTAATATATTATCTTAGTCAATGTGCACTAACTTGATTTCGTTTAATTTAAATCTTCAGCATTTGTAAACACAGATTTGTAGTTTTCTTGTTGCGTCTTTACGATTTCACTTACAGTCAAAGTTATATCTTACTTAGAAAAATATCGTATCGTAAAAAATTACAAGTCTCATAGTAGTAAATTAAAAGATTTGTAATATTAAAATCAATAATCTTAGTACTAATAATCAGAATAGACTTACCGTATATTTACTCAGAATACTGTTAACAAATGAGGTGTCGTTTATAGCTGAAGCCATTGGAAAATTAAAGGAGAGTGGTTCACCAAGGCCAGCTCGATTTGCTGGTACAGACAAAGGTGCTGTTAATTCCTGACTATCTTTTTCAGAGAGGTTTCTGGCTGATTTTCTAGTTTTTCTGATCTTCCAACAGACGATCATTAAGATGGTTGAGGTTAGAAGAAACAAAGCACCGGCGCCGATCCCAGCCAAGCAGCTAAATCCACATTTGGAACTAACTGAAAATAAAATTTATGAATATATTTTTTTTACTTAGAGAAAGATTTTTAATAACTTAGTATTAAGTAGCCATATAGACCAATGAGCAAGAGTAGTAATGACTGAACTAAACGGGATCTGGCGTGATCGTCACATTATTATGAACTCGTTTTAACTCTGATCTTTTCCATATTTGACTATATATCCGAGACAAAGATAGTCAAGGAATCAGACAGACGACGTACAAACGCTTTTAAAATGTGGACATTAAGACGACTGCTTCGAATTTTATAGACGCCTTGCCGCACGAATATCTCTGTTCTAGATGAAATTAAACCCAATCATTGTCTCTCTAATACTATTTACTCTAAAATTTTTTGGTCAAAAAAGTTCTTTGGTCATATCCATCGAAGTTGTCACAAAATAAAGCAGTTGGTGGTGGAACAAGAAAGGCCTCAGAGACAACGCCAACGCGGCAGATTTCCACAGCGATGAACAGATCACTAAAAAGCTTCTTAACACGCAGTATACTTAGATAGCAAATGTAACAGAAAACCGCGACAAGTAAAGGAATATTATTAGTTAAACTATCCGAGCTGCTGAAGCTGAATAATGAACTCCAACACATCTGCCAAGACGCTAATGACTACAATGATGATGAGGTGCTTGCATTAATAGATCGAAAACTCTTTAAGTAATAAAGTCAAACTGGAATGTCTTGAGTTACTTATCACTGGGTACTCTATATAAACGATCTTTCATTTGCGAAGGCTTTCTTACCAGTAAATATTTCTTTTACTTCGTCATTACTTTTAAAAGCCAAAATGCATTTCCTATTTAATATCCTTTTTCTTTGTGCCCTTACATTATTACCTTATCCATAATGGTATCAAATAATAATGGGTTTACACATTAACCGCCACGTTAATTTTTTTTTAATTTCAGATTCCATGTCTTTTTTTATTAAATAATTAAAAAACTGCACTACGGTAATGATAATTTAAAATTAACTATTTAAAAAATGTTTTTTTCTTTATTTACGGTTGTAAATTGTATTAAACCCACTGAGCGTTAAGGCCAACATGTGCGTTGCAGATGATTCACTCTTCACGATAACCGTACATTAGGGATGGGAAAAACCTACCGGTTTTAATCGAAAACCGGTTTTTTTACTTCGAAATAACCGGTTTTATCGATTGTTTTTTTTTGTCCCGGTTATAACCGGTTTTTTTATTTTTAAAGTAAAAACCGGTTATTAGGTTTTTACAGTGATTAGGATTAGGCTAGGTATTATTTTGGATCCCACCCAATCATAATTATTATTCTCAAGTAATTATTCCAAACAAAACTTAAATTCAATTTTTATTTCATTTAGTACAGAAGCAAAAGCTCACATTAGCCAGAAACAATTAAATTTTATTATAGTATTTCGTTGAAAAAGTATTTGTAATCATAATATTTTTACATAAGAAGTGATCTGGTATTTATTATGGTTATTTGACTCTTGACATTGAAAGTGGGTGAATGGTGTTTTCTGATTACCAAAAATAATGACTGTGAATATCGAATTACCGATTACGAATACGAATCTACAAGAATTTCCCCACGTTTTCAAAACGATTTATACCCATACCGGAAGTCGTAAATGAGTTAAAAGTAATACATGATAAATTTTTTTTGATGGTAGTACAAATAAAAGATGAATTGCATTATTCAATTTATTTTTAAGTAAAATATGTTGATATTATTTTCTTTAAATCCCATTTGAAAGAGTCTGGGGAATTTTTTTCTCACAAAACACAAAAAATTGTGTTGCGAATGTAGTATCGCAAACTAAAGTGCATTGTAAATGTAACTTTTTAATCTTATTTGATTAAAAAAAACGAAAACCGGTTTTTGAAAAAACCGGTTTGTTTGGCCGGTTATAACTGCCAGGTTAAACCGAAAGTAAAAAAAACCGGTATAACCGAAAACCGGTGTTTTGTCAAAAACTGCCATCCCTACCGTACATTATTACAGTAACAGCTTGCATTTATTTTGTATAAAGCTATCGTTACTATCAAAGTCTCCTTCAAATGAAAGTACAGGGTAAAAATTACACGCTAATGGAAAAACCGCAAGCAGTGACCAATTATAATAATTTTAAAGCACCTATTGCTTTACTGGGCATCTTATTTTCAATGGTTATTACGATAGTACTTTTTATTATATGCGTATCATCTACAAATTATATGCGTATCAATAACGTATAAACTTTGAAGTAAATTCGTTTCAAAGAGCATAGAATCTCAACAGTCTGTGGAATCATCTTTAACTCACAAAACTACTGAGCCAAACAGAACGTGAGTTTATTACATACAACTCACGTGGCGTTTAATGTATTACTCACATACTCTGAACCCTTATACTCTGTCTATAACTGTATACTTTAAAGAGTTCAATAAATTCCCAATTTACTTGCTCCTTATTTGTTTTTCTTTTTAATTATTCTAATTCAAGTTCTGCGAAATTCTCATCATAATCCAACCTCGAAAGTTTATTGCTGAATATAGGTCTCTTTCTTGTATTTCCAAACTCATCTGTTTTGCGATGCTGTCATTCATTTTTAATTTAGTACTTTTAAATTCAGTTATGTTACAGTCAACGATCTTTTGCAATACCTTTTTTATTTCCCCTATTGACCCCACTCCTCAGTTTTTCTTGTAAGCGATAATAAAATGTGTACTGTACTTACCCAATCCACCCAATGTAACGTTCTGCATCATGCTCTCCCTTGAGACACTAAAAGCTTCTTTTAGATGTTGCTTCGGTGGTTTTTCCTTGTTGCTAGTTGCTTTTGGTGCAAATCTTCTAGATTTAATAGATTGACATTTACCAGAATTACATATTATAGTTCCGCTAGCTTCGTCTATGCCTCTTCCAGTTTTTTTGTTAAGTTTTAAAGGAAATGCAGCTTGCTCTAAAATATGAAAATATTTAAATATATATATATATATATATATATATATATATATATATATATATATATATACATATATATATATATATATATATATATATATATATATATATATATATATATATATATATATATATATATATATTGTTATGATATGTAAAATCAAGAAAATGTCGGTTTGTTTAAAAATATTTCAAAGTTCAAAACATTAAAATAATTCAGATAAGTCAAACAATAAACTACAAATATTTCGAAGAATGAAAGTCTTTTAATTTTGGATTACCTCTATTAAACAAAACGTAAGCTATGCATAAATTATTTTCTTTGTTAAAATATATTTGTATGACGTGAATAAGCTTAAGTGAAATAAAAGACAATTAAACCGGGTTTTCCAAATAAATTAGTGCAGTTGATTAGGACAATAGAATAGATTTTTGAAAGATAGGTTTTTGTTAGTTTTTAAGAATTGTAGGAAAATATTATTTGTAAATAAGTTTTAGGAAATTTTATAATTATAGGTAAAAATTTGTTTGTTATCGAAATGAAGAAATGGGGATGGATGACGCGTTTTGATTGGATGAAATTGAAAAAGGTGGGATGATTGGTTTGAGAATGAGACGTTAGTTAGTTTCGGAAAAATAAAAGATGGGCAGTTTTGGTTTCCATGGGTAGAAGGCGAACGGCCGTTGTTCTCGGGTAGTTTCCCAGAGGTAGGAAGCTGTAGCAGTGAAAGTTTGTGAGTTTTCGTGTAGTTAGTGTATCTGACAGAAGCTGATCCAGCAAAATATTGTAAGTTATATTTTCTACTTATATTCCAAGAGTCACTGTTCAGGCCAACGAGAGATTCAGTTTATCGTAAAGAAAAGATATTCCAAGAGTCATTTTTCACTCAGGCCAACGAGAGATTCAGTTTATTGAGAGAAGAAGAAGCTAGCATAATTTGAACGATTCGTGCATTTGAAGGAGATCATTAAGGACGATAAACTTGCAATAATTTGTTGTAAGATTGCTGATTACCTAGGAAGCGGCTGAAAGTAGATAATATAGTCTACAAGGAACAAGGATTTGGACCACTCATCATCAGAGAGAGATAGTTTTGTTTTCTGCAGTTTTTCTTTTATTGATAACACAATTTTTACAATTACTTTAGAAAAGATATAAATTTTGATTAGGAGATTTAGAATAATAATTGGGATTTTGAGATTTTAACTAATATTGTTTATACAATTAATTTTGAAGGTTCACGTACGTAGAACAAAATTTTAAGAATCATTATATGAGATATTGTTTATTGAAAACATTTGAGTGTGAATTTTATTTCAATATTTTATTTCAATGTATAACGTTAGATCCTATATGTTTTTTTTTATTCCGGTATTCTTTGGACCTTACCTTTCACATGTAATAGCATAGATATCGAAGCACGAATTTAACCCTGAGATAAGAGAATTAAAAAGTGTGATAGAGTCATTATCATATCATTAAAATAATTTTAATTAATTAATTAATTAATTAGCTAATTAATTGCTTGGCGCACCAAGACTTTAAATATCACATTAATATATATATATATATATATATATATATATATATATATATACATATATATACATATATATATATATATAATATATATATATATATATATATATATATATATATATATATATATATATAATATATCGGAAAAGGAGTACGACCGTCAATCCAATATATATAAGGATCACTCAGACAAGTGGTGGGTTCTTATATCGGTCTCGAGGTGGAGAAATAAAAGAAAAAGTTGATATGCTATTTTATCTATTTTGAAGACGTTTCGCTTTCGTATTCTGAAAGCATCATCAGTTCATCTAAAAAGTACAACATGAGAACCACACAATTATGGAAACGATGTTATAATTGTTACCTTAAAAAGACATGTAGCAGTCAAAGTTATTTACAATTATGTGAATAAAACTCAACATAATGTCCATTTACTTTCGGTTGCTCTGGGCTATCGAAATCAAACCACTGAAAGTAGAAAGTATTTTGGAGACATTAGTTCCATTAACAGACATAACTTTTCGGTTTCAATTTAAATCAGCTCGAGCGACTGACGAGGAAGACATACCGAACAACAGTTATATCTTTCTATTGGTTTCGATTCTGACGTCAAAAGTTTGACTAATTTAACTAGTTTGACCAATCTAACAATATTGATGTTTAAAAAATACACTAACCATATAGAAAATCTAATAAAAATTAATAGAAAGAACAGAAATACACCGGTCTACTTACCGGCACAGTCTTGGGGACATAACATATAATGCGATTCTTCTAACGAGTCGCATATACCATCTGGACAAGTTTTGGTTTCGGGTGTACACGTTGAATACAAGTGGGTAATATTCACCGTGATATCGTCGCCTCTCCACATGCATCTTTTTGGACCGTTTCTAAAAGTTTAAATTAAAAAAAAATATATTGTTTTAAAACAAGTCGTTGAGTATCTGTAAATTACGATGAATTTTAATGTGATTTTAGGCATTCGATTCGTAATAATTTCTACAAACTTTGTGACAGTATGTGACCATGAAAAAATGAAAAACTGCATTGGAGCATTACAAAAAATATATTTTAAAAGTCTACAATTTTATTATTCTGTGGTTTTTTGTCGTTGCTAGTCCCCACAAATATAAAATAGCATGACTCCTTTTAGACCAAGGAGAATATAACCCGATAAATCATGCACCGATTACAAAAATTGGCTTAGACTAGCACAATATCCCCAATTGCTGTCCCCAATGCTGTTCAATTTATACGTAGAAAAAGCCTTCGCAGAAGCAGTGGAAGACTCTAATAAGGGTATTAAAGTTAACGGCATATTTATTAATAACATCAGGTATGCCGATGATACAGCCATAGTGACAGATAACATCGAAGATCTTCAATGCCTTTTAAATGATATAACTCTTGCAAGTGAAGCTCGGGGTTTGAAAATAAATATCAAGAAGACAAAATTAATGATTATAAGTAGAAATGATTACCCCAACGCAAAGATATATGTCTCTGGAGAAGAAATCGAAGAAGTCAGGCAATTCAAATACTTGGGATGTTTGCTGAATGAGGGTTGGGACTCGAGAATGAAATAAAGAGCAGAGTTGAACAAGCCAGAAATGCTTTTTTGAGGCTTCGTAAGTTTCTGACTGATCGCAAATTGGACTTCAACCTCCGATACAAGATGCTTAAGTGTTATGTGTGGCCGGTTCTCCTGTACGGAATGGAAGCATGGACGTTAAAGGCCAGTTGCATTAACAAACTTGAAGTGTTTGAAATGTGGTGCCTGCGTCGAATGCTCAGAATATCATGGACGGACAGGGTCAGAAATGAGGAAGTACTCAGAAGAGCGGGCTTACAGGATAGGGTACTTTTTAATTATGTAAAAAATAAGAATACTGCATACTTGGGGCACATTATACGAGGAGAACGATACACTTTTCAGCAACTGATACTCGAAGGGAAGATAGAGGGTAGGAGAGGTCTCGGACGTAAAAAAATGTCATGGCTGCGCAATATTCGACAATGGACAGGAATCCACAGCTATGAAATGCTTTGCAATGCTGCTAAAAACAGAATTATTTAATCCAGAATATTTAACATCTCACCTGACAAGACGATGTAGGGTGGACGCCTACGCAGAAATGCACGGCACCTTAAGAAGAAGAAGCACACAATATCATAGAGACGATCAAACGCCGTTTTAAACAACATACTAGTAATAGCAAAATTAAATATAAAAATAATAAAAATGCAAGCTCAACGAAATAAGAAGCACAAGTAAAAGAATCTGGACAAGACAAAAGCAGTCGCAGTAAACCAGTAAACAAAAAATACACAAAAACATAGCAAAATACCTACAAAGAATGCACATTCAAAGACGAAGATAAGAATGAATGATAAGCATGGATGACATGGATACAAATTGGAACAGATGAAAATAAATATATCCAAAAGAAAAAACAGAAAGCAGCATAAAAATAAAAAAATCAGGAATAAATGGAAGCAATCGAGGCAAAAAATAAAGACAACAAAAAATTATGAATAGTTAAATTATAAAAGAACAGTTACACCTAAACTCAGTAAAAATTCAGGAAAAAAGATTTCTCTAAATTTACAAAATCAAACAAAGTAGGAATATTGGGGAATCAGAAATAAGAGATGAAAGATACGAAGAAAAAAACACTCTTTTATACAAGGAACTTATTGCAATACTAAAAAAGTTAAAATAAATTAATAAAACATAAGGCAGAAGAACTGTTGCAGCGGATTAACAAACTAATATAAATTATATGGAACTACGAAAATATGCATAAGCAGTAAAGAAAAAGTCATTATAATAATAATATAAAAAGGAGACCAAAGGGATTTTAGTAACTATAGACAAATCATGCTACTGAATATTATTAGATACAAAATACTAACAAGTATTTAAAAAAACAAAATGAAGATACATTCATAGAAAACACACTAGGACAATACCATACCAAAAATACTTTAGAAAAGGAAAATCTGTCATAGACGCCATTCACCTACTAACACAAATGATTGGAAAGTGTTATGAACGTTACATGAATTTACACCTACTGTTTTTAGACTTACAGCAAACATTTGATTTTGGTAATGGACACCAAATCTTAGTTGAAATGCAAAACATGAATATACGAGTACCAGCAAAACTGAATACTTTAGCGAAAATTACAATGGAAAACATAACAGATGAACATAATACAGAAAATGTTAACATAGAAGTAATAGTTCCATACGTTGACAGACTGTCTACTACACTATTTAACATAGTACTGGATAGAGCTATTAAAGAACTGAAATCAAAAAGATTATTATTCAAATTATAGGATAGATGAAATGAACCTTACAATAAACAAAAAAAAAACCAAATGTTGGTGTCATTATCAAATAATAGAAATAAAGCTAGAAACGCCAAACAAAACTTTAGCATAGGGCCACATGGCACCACCATCACTTTGAGGTAGTAATAATTTTACCTATCTGAATTCTCAACAAGCAATAGTGACACATCTGAAGAAGTAAAACAAATGGAACTTCTTCTTCTTCTACTTCTTCTTTACGTGCCATCTCCGCGACGAAGGTTAGCAATCATCACTGCTATTCTAACTTTTGACACTATAGCCCGAAAGAGTTCAGTTGAGCTACATCCAAACCATTCTCTAAGGTTTCTCAGCCAGGACATTCTTCTTCTACCTATGTTACTCTTTCTTTGAATCTTTTCCTGTAATATTAGTTTTAGGAATGCATATCTCTTACTATGTGTTATATGACCCAGATATTGTAGTTTTCCCTTTTTGATGAAATCCAATATCTCTCTTCTGTTCTCTATTCTTCTCAGCACTTCTTCATTGGTTATTTTGTCTGTCCAGGAGATTCTCAGCATTCTTCGATATGTCCACATTTCAAATGCTTCGAATTTATTGAGACATTGTCTATTTAAAGTCCATGTCTTTACACCATACAAAAAAAAACAGAAAATTCAAAACACTTTAGTATTCGTTTTCTAATATTTAGGCTGAGGTCTCTACAACATATTTGTTTCATATTATTGAATGCACTTCTAGCCTTTTCTATTCTAACTCTAATTTATTTGGTATAATCGTTTGTTTCATTAATGTTTGCCCCTAAATAGTTATACTTCTAAACTCGTTCTATCGGCTTACTATTTATGTGTAGATTGATGTATCTAATATTTTTCTTTTCTAACCATGAATTTTGACCAAATGTGACAGACCAAATTCTTCACTCGCTGCAACAACCTTATCTAAAATTCTTTGTAGATCTTTAATATTTTCTACTATTAGTATTGTGTAATCGGCATATTTAATTTGACGTAAGGGTAGGCCATTCATTTGTATGCCTGTTACTTCATCTTTTAATGCTTTTTTGAATATTTACTCTGGCTATGCATTAAGCAGTGACAGTGACAAGACACAGCTCTGCTTAACACCTTATTTGATTTTTATTTTATTAGTTTTTAAATTATTTAAATGAAATGAGGTTGAATGCTCGAATAAATGAACTTTGAAAATAAGGCTATTATCGAGCACAAGTTAATTAAATCAAGCCCAAGTACTTTCGCTTATAATAGCATCTTCAGGGGCATCTGAAATAAGCCAAGAAAACGTTTTTTTAGATGAAGTAAATTAGTTAACTTCGATAAAAAACCCGAAGTTAATGGATGAAAAAAAAAGGTTTTGAGATTAACGTTTTAGACTTACTTCGTCAAAATAAGATCTATCCAGCAAGCGTAGGAAGTGGAAACATTAAAACATTTTTTAGTGTAGTGTTTTGTATAATTTATGTTAGTTTTAATGTTTCCACTTCCTACGCTTGCTGGATAGATCTTATTTTGACGAAGTAAGTCTAAAACGTTAATCTCAAAACCTTTTTTTCATCCATTAACTTCGGGTTTTTTATCGAAGTTAACTAATTTACTTCATCTAAAAAAACGTTTTCTTGGCTTATTTCAGATGCCCCTGAAGATGCTATTATAAGCGAAAGTACTTGGGCTTGATTTAATTAACTTGTGCTCGATAATAGCCTTATTTTCAAAGTTTAAATTATTTATTCTTATGAAAGCTTCTTAGACATACAGATATTTATTATTCTTATATCCCGCATGTCGATATTCTTTGTTTTCAGTAGTTTTATTAATGGATTATGTTTCACTGTCTCGAATGCTTTGGTTTAATCTAGAAAGCAGACATATATGTCCTGGTTTATATCTAGACATCTCTGTATTAGCACATTTACTGTTATAATATGTCTCTGGTTCCTTGGGCATTTCTTAATCCGAAGTGAGTTTGTCTCATGTCTTGATCTAACTTTTTATATATTCTACGATGAATAATATTTAGGAATACTTTATGTGACACATTAGACTGATGGTATGGTGATGGCAACATTGTCTATTGTTTTCTTTTTCGGTATAGTCACAAATGTTAATAAAAGCCTTTATTTATGTAATATACCTATTCTGTATATGTTCTGAAGGAAACTGGTAGAGAACAAATGTTATTCTGGACTAAATACTGTCTGAAGTAAAAAACATGGCCTATCTGCAAAACAGATGAAAATTATCTGCACGTCTTCGAAAGGGAGATACTAAGCAGTCGCAGAATGGACGCAATCTGTAAGAATTGTATTTGAAGAAGGCAATATAATTTCGAATTTTACGAGAACTATAAAAAAATAATTAATGGTAGAGATATAATATCTTTTATAAAAAAAGATAGGCATCGATAGACTGGACATGTGTTAAAATCAAATGTAAATTATCCACCAGATGAACCGTATTAGCGGTGCCAGTAGCAAATAGTAGTAAAGGTAGATCAAGAATGAGATGGAGGGATAGTGTGGACGAGGACACGAGTAAGATTGTCCCAGCAAAATAATATGGGTTGGCGATGACCAGAAACGACTGGCGGAAGAGACTGGGGAATGACAAGGCTTAACTAGGGCTATATCACCACTGATGATGATGACGACATGATAATAACCGCATATACAAAACAAGCAAAAATTGGGGAAAAACAAACTAAGAAAATTACAAACTACATTATTGAACAATGTATATTTTAAAAAGTAAAGAGATTGAAGTATCTTGGCGTAATAATAGACAAACGACAAACGACAGAAGCGCAGATATAACTGAAAGAGAAAAAGCAGGCACAGAGCATATTGAAAATACTCAAGTAGTAATAAACACGAAATAAACACGAGAATTATTGTAAGTATGTAGGTTGCACATTTATACTACACTAAAATTTAATAGACCAATTTAATGTGGATGCTTACTACTTATAACACGTTATCCTTGTTAAGAAAATGTTAAAAAATACATATATTAAAAAAAATTGTATTACCTGTTACTAACACTCTGAAATCCTCCAGTACCAAGTGCACAAGAATCTTGTTGCAGACATTCATCGATTGTTTCATACTCCGAACAAGAACTCCACCTCTTGATTTTATTTATGTTTCCACAAGTCTGATTAGGCTCATGGATAAGTCTTACTTCAATTTGATCAGATTCCCGTTTATTATTGTTGGTCCAGGATATATTAAGGCTAAAAGGAAAAATATTTTTTACTTTATTATTTCTTATATGGAATAAAAACAAACTTTCCTTTAAAAAGTAGTAAACGAATATCATTGAACGAAACGATAGAAATTATACGACAAACGATGTTTTCTGCTTTTTATTCACTACCTGAAATATTTCTGAAAAACTTAATACAACTACATATGTATAATAACAAAGGTAACGGACATTGTCACAAAATTTGATTACCCTGTATGAAGCATCCCACATTGCACTATTATGCCTTTGTTTCTTTTATGCTTTCTGCTCTACTTTTAAAAATTTTTCTTTTGGTAACATGTAACGTATGTTTATTTTAGAGTCCTTTTGTTGATATTCTATACTTTTTATATCGATATGCAATTCTTGTTTACTATTTTCTCGTGTATTTGTCGTTGCAACTTCCTCTTCGTGTACCATATCCTCTTATTATTTATTTTTTATTATCCTCTTATTATTATTTATTTATTATTTATATTCACTGCCACCCTAAATAGCATGCTTGTATCAATACCATAACGATCCCGCAAATTCTTCAACCATGAAATCTTTCTTCGTCCTAGACTGTGTTTGCAATATATTTTCCCTTGCATAATATTTTGTAGTAACCTACATTTAGGACCTCGTATTACATTAATTTTTATTATAATGGGAATAAGCCACAATTTAAGTTTAAAATAAGTTTATTGGCGTTTTAATTTCCACTTCGGAAATTATTTTTCCGATATCTAATGTAAAAATTGAAACGCTTCTTCTTCAAGTGCCGTCTTCGTTCCGAAGCTTGGCTATCATCAAAGCTATGCGTATTTTTGATGCTGCAGATCTAAACAGTTGGTAATTGGTGCAATTGTACCATTCTCTCAAGTTTTTCAACCATGAATGCCTTCTTCTTCCTATAGATCTCTTTCCCATTATCTTTCCCTGTATAATCAATTGCAGCAACTGGTATTTATCTCCCCTCATAACATGTCCCAAATATTGTAGTTTGCGCTTTTTAACAGTAAGTATCAGCTCTTTCTCTTTCCGCACTCTCCGCAAAACCTCCACATTTGTTACTTTCTCTGTCCAGGGTATTCTTAATATTCTACGATACATCCACAACTCAAATGCTTCTATCTTTTTGGTATCGATCTTTTTCAATGTCCATGTTTCCATCCCGTAGAGGAGAACTGACATAACGTAACATCTCAAAAGGCGAATTTTAAGTTTTAGACTTAGATCTCTTCCGCAGAACACCTTTTTCCATTTAGTAAATGTGGCTCTAGCTTTCTCTATTCTGGTTCTGATTTCTTCAGAGCAATCATTATTTTCGTTGATAACAGTTCCCAGGTAATTATATCTTTTTACACGTTCGATTCTTTGATCATGCACGGTTATGTCAGGGAAGTTTTGTGGTGATTTAGATATTAGCATTATTTTTGTTTTGCTTATGTTAAGTGATAATCCGTGTTCTTCACTGCATTCTACTATTTTGTTAATTAGTAATTGAAAATCTTCCCAAGTTTCTGCGATTAGTACCGTGTCATCGGCATATCTCAAGTTGTTTATTCGGATGCCATTTATCTTAATACCTATATTTTGATCCGAAAGTGCTGTGTTTATAATGTCTTCGGAGTATAGATTGAATAAGGTCGGTGAGAGTATACAACCCTGTCTTACGCCTTTCTTGATCTCGATTTCCTCCGTTGTCTCTTGCTCTATTCGGATATTTGCTTTCTGGTTATAGTAAATCTTAGAGATAATTCTAATGTCCCTTTTATCCAAGTTTTTTTCTACTAGCAGTTTCATTAAGTGATCGTGACGAACTTTATCAAACGCTTTGTTGTAATCAATAAAGCACATATATATATATATATATATATATATATATATATATATATATATATATATATATATATATCTTGGTTTATATCTAGACATCTTTGGCATATGACGTTAAGTGCAAATAGTGCTTCTCTTGTTCCAAGCTCGTTCCGAAATCCGAATTGAGTATTACTAATATCTGCATCTAGTTTTCTGTTAATTCTTGAGTGGATTACTTTGATGAATACTTTTAATGTAACGAAACGCTAATAAACTTAGAAATAAAAATGTAATTGAAACGCTAATAAACTTATTTTAAACTCCAATTGTAGCTTATTCTCATTATAATAGTAATTACTTTAAGATGCCACAGGAATATAGCTTTAGAACTCTTATTATAAGTATGTGCGAAGTACTCCAGATTTCACTTCTTGATGTTTTGTATAATAAGTCTTGCTGAGACGTTCTAGTATAGTGGAGTTTCGAATCTTCGTAAAATATTATTTTATATTTCCGTAGCCTAATGGCGATTTAGATAACTTTTATTTACAGTACAGAACTCAACACCATAAAATAATACCGAGAACACGTAGCAAAAAAAATTGGGTGGATCTCTTTTATTGAATACCTTTGGCATTCTCCCAAAAGTGGCTTTGGCCTGCTTAATTGTATATTGTTGTTTATTTATTACAAGTATTTTGGTTTTCTGTATGATCAGATCTAGACCTGCTTCTTAACAGCTAATAACGAGACTTTTTAGTAATGTTTGCAGATGATCTTTAGTAGAAGCTAGCAGTACTGTGTCGTACGTGATATCCAACCGTCTACTAAACCCGATATTTTTTTATTCCAATACAAATTTGCAATTATCGAAGCAAATGTCTCCTAAAACTTTGATCAATGTAGAGTGAATAATACGATCAAATGCGATTAATTACGAGATCTTTGAGTAAGTTCATCCCAAACAAGCCTTTCTCGTTCCAAACCCGCTACGGAATCCAAACGGTGTGGCACTTCCTGTGGGTATTCGCCGCATTTATTATAGATACGACCATGTATTACCTTCAGAACATTTTTTAATAAATGGCTTAACAAACGAATGGCTCTATAATCAGCACAGGGCTTTGCTGTTGTCTTCTTAGGTAGAGCTATGAATAGTGAATTGAACCAACTATTACGTAGGTGTTTGCTAGTATTAATGGTATTTAAAAACGAAGTTGTAGCCTTTATTGCTGCAAACTACATTTTGTAAAATGTAAATTTATTGACACTGTTAATTCTGCATATATAAGAGTTTTTAATAACTCTAAAGAATTACTGCTCAAAAAATTTGTAATTTACCTTAAGAACTGTGTTGTTATATTTTTCAATTTGAGAAAATCGTGGACGAATACGATCCCTTCGGTTTTTGTTATATTAAATATCTCTTTAAACTTGGACATTTCATCAAGTACAAAATCACTGTAGTTCCCATTTAAATCTTTCGGTTGAACTACTCGCGCGAATGGTGCAGCTGTCCTATAAAAGAAGACATTAAATACAACTGAAAACAAATTACAAGTGGGTACTAAAGTAGCCTTATTTTTTATTAGTCACTATAAAAGGATTTATTTAAGTGAATTGCTAGGCATAAAAACGAAGAACTTAGGTTAGATGGAGATAGTTAGTTAAACATAAATACATAGATATATAGGTAGAATCAAAATTGTACATTATGGGGGATCTTATAGCAGTTTTAAAGAATGTTCATCACCGTCTTGTTTCTAATCTAGTTAATAATCTAACCGCACATTAACATGCAATTTATTTCTCTACCACAGCTATCCTGACACAAGGTATTACTGTCCCATACATGTGTCTCACAATCTTCACATACAGTAAACTCCTGTTTTTTCGTGAAAAAAAAAAGTAACAGGAAATATAAAAACAATAAGTGCTTAGCTAAATTAATATTAAATTTAAGAGGAAAATGTTTAAACGCGCTACGCACAAGTTGCTTATCTTTAAATTGTATTTTGTAGGTAATTCACTTAGATGAAACTGACATTCAATTAAGAACTGAACTACTTTCTCGGTAATTTCTACAATGAGTGCAAGATTCTTTCATAAAAGCAACCAAAAGCATATCGCGGACCTCACCGTCTCCATCATGAAAGCTAAAGCTAACAATTCTCCATCGTAGTACCTGCTTAGTCCTTTCAAGTTTACTTATTGAGCATGACCTTTATATTTTAGATATGTTGATTACTGCAGTTGCAGCGGATAAAAAAATCGCGAATAAAGTGCTATAAACTTGTTAGACTAATAACTAACTTTATAACTTGTTAGACTAATAAAAGTAAAAAATAAAAATTTAGTTCCTCCTAAACTTTTAATTTAACATTTTCAATGTGTGTTTTATAATTTGCATAATTTCACCACTGATATTTAATCTGTACTTAAGGCACATTTTTGAAGAGGCCCTAAAAGATGTTGATGAAGGCATCTCAATAAATGGAGTCAAGCTCAATAACCTGCGGTATGCAGATGATACAATAGTGTTTTCCAATACCATAAAAGGGCTGCAAAACTTAATGAACAGAATAACGGAAACAACATATGGACAGGATATAAACACCACCAAAGCCAAGCTTATGATCATCAGCAAGGAAAACATAACTGGGGCAAATCCGTATGTGAACCAAATGAGAATTGAATGTGTCTCACAATACAATAATTACTTGGGAACTAGAATCAATGAGTCGTGGGACAATACCCAAGAGATTAAATGTCGCATCGGAAAGCCAAAAGCGCATTCTTGTTTATGAGCTCTGTGTTCAAGAAACATGACCTCACCCTGAAAACAAAAATAAGGCTCCTTAAATGTTACGTGCACTCAGTGCTTCTGTATGGAGTATAAACGTGGTCATTAAAGGCGGAAACTCTATCAAAACTTCAGGCTTTTGAGCTATGGTTATACAGAATAAAATTGAAGATACCATGCACAGACAAAGTCACCAATGAAGAAGTACTGCGGAGGATGAACACAACCGCGGATTTGGTCAACATCGTGAAGAGCCGTAAGCTTGGGACATATAATGAGAAATTAAGGCAGATACGAGCTACTCCAATGCATTTGGCAGGGTAAAATTTAAGGAAAAGGAGCCTCAGGACGAAGAAGACTATCCTGACTTGCTCACTTAAGAGCATGGTATAGAAAGACCTCAACACAGCTATTTCGTATAGCAACCAAGAAAATCATCATAGTCAAAATGATCGCCAACCTTCGGAATGGACAGGCACCCTAAGAAGAAGAATGTGTGTTTATGTTTTAAACTTTTTGAAAGTAGTCTGTCACTGGTTTCTGCTTCTTTGATTATTGTGCTCTAAATATTCTAGAATATAATTTATTTAAAACAAGGCTGCTTAACCAAGTGCAAATATATCCTCTTCGTGGGATATTCTTATCCGTTAGATGCTCAAATTCCATGCCGACAAAAAAAGTAACTTTTGTTTCCTAGTTTATCTTCATATACATAATATTGACTTACTCCATTGGCTGAACAAATGCAGTCGTATTTGAGGGCAAAACAATTAGAATTATTTTACCGACAGAAGACTTAAGCACATGTGGTTCAGGATATTATTGGATGTGATTAACCAACAGTATTGCTTTTGTGTCAAATTGTTTGTTTTTTAACAAACGTTGTTTTTTTTTAACATCTAAATGTGTTTTGATTTCTGGCATAAATTAATTTCAAACAACTCTTAAATATGTTTTTTATTCAGCCACACATTCCTTTGGTTGAGATAGTCAACAAATAGTTTTTCTGTCCTAGTGCCCTCAAGAGATCTAGGTTTTATTGTCTTAGATATGATCATAAACTTAAGTTTGTGGATTATTGTGGCGTTGCTGCAGGTAACGCAACAATCGTTACCATTTCTTTGTTGTATTTTCAAAAGCTAACGTCCGAGTTAAACGACATTTTTAAAAGAAGCTCCATTAGTGTTCGTTTTAAATTTGTTTGTAGCTTAGATTACATAAAGAAAGAAACTCTTCTACCTTACTTCAAATTTCTCAATCTGGCCACGTCTGAGCTTATCTCCTTGAAGTTCTGTCTCCTTCATACCTTAGCGTTGTCTAAAGTAAGTGAAACATTTAGATAATGCATGACATCTCCTTTTAAGTCAAATGCGTAAATAAACTATTTTACATCTGTAGCTACATAGGTGAAGCTGTGTTACAAACTGGCATCTCTATTCTACCAATGTTGTCTTTAATTGTACATAAGACAATGTTTTTATTGTTTTTCTTTTATTTACAGTAGATCTGCCATCTGACATTAACACAACCAAACAGATTTTGTTTTTTTTGTCCCCTAAATGTCCCCTCATCAATACTGTACTGAAGCACACGTAAGTGTATAAGTAACACCGTTTTTAATTAAGAGTTCTATGATACGGAAACCAAGAGAGAAAAGTAATCAAACAATATAAAATTCGGCATAACCGAAAATGCACAACAAACAATAGAAGTGGGGAAACAAAAAATCTAAAGCATGATTTGATAAAGAATTTCACAGAAAAAATAAACTTAAAAACCTTGCCAGAAACAAATATCTTGAAAATGGAAATCAGAAACAACTAGAACTTTACCGAACAGGAAAAGAAAAACCTACGAAACTCTACAAAAGAAAGGAAGACACATGAATCTCATAGGAAATGCAACAGTAAGAAATAAATAACCAGGAAAACAAGAGACTCTTTGAATATAAAACAATAATATGGTACCAAAAAATTATGGAAATCAATAAAAAGAAACGTGGAAATAAAATTGACAGATCTTTACAAAAACCATTAAAAGAAAGATGCAGAAAATAAAGAAATAAAAGATAATAGAGATGTAGTGGAAGACGCACCCACTTATGTAGAAGTCATAGATGTAGTAAAACAACTAAAAATGAACAAAACTTGAAGGCCAGATGAATTTAACAACGCACTTCCAATAGACTCAGGTAATTTAGTCACATAAAAAAGAAGATGAACCAATTAGAAAGATAACGAACTGGAATCCTGTAATAAGTAGACTAAGAAAAAGATCAAAAATAAAATGAGAGTATTAACTGATTGTACCTTAAACCTTGGATGACAGTAGAAATTCTTGAACTCATGGAAGAACGAAGAAAACATAAAGCAAAACACCTGAATAAATACAAAGAAATTCAGAGAAACATCAGAAAGAAAATTCGAGAGGCAAAAGAAAGGTGACTCTCCGATAGATGCAAGGAAATAGAAGATCTGGATAAAAAGTACGATAGCTTTAATTTACACAATAAAATCAAAGAAATGACTGGTTCTAGAAAGGGTACAAAAACGAATATCCTTAAAAATGATAAAGGGGATATTATTACTGATATGAAGGAGAGATTATGTCACTGGACCAATTACATTCAACAACTATTTAATGATGAAAGAGACGAACTGTCATTAGAAATCACCGAGGATACTGGACCACCAATATTAAGAGAAGAAGTCATCTATGCCATCAAAAACACAAAAGAGGGTAAAGCTACTGGACCAGATGAGGTGTCCATCGAATTATTAAAACTCATCGATGAAGATGTTATTGATGTACTGGTTGAAATCTTTAATATAATATATCAGACTGCCACAATCCCCAGACAATGGCTGCAATCAACCTTTGTAGCAATTCCCAAAAAACCAAGTTCAACAACTTACTCAGACCACAGAACAATAGCTCTAATGAGTCACACACTTAAAACATTTTTGAAAATAATTCACAGCAGAATTGTTTAAACTCTTGAATATGAGATTAGTGACACACAATTTGGCTTTAGAAATGGTATGAGCACAAGAGATGCTTTGTTCGGCTTGAATGTGCTGGCTCAGAGATTCATGGACATGAATCAGGATATGTACTTATGTTTTGTAGACTTTGAAAAGGCATTGGATAAAGTTCAACATAAAAAGCTTGTAGATATATTAAAAAGCAAAAATATTGACAGTCGTGATCAGAAAATTATATCCAATTTATATTGGAATCAAACTGCCAAGGTAAGAGTTGACAGCCTGTACACCGAAAATATCAAAATACAGAGAGGAGTCCGCCAGGGTTGCGTGCTGTCCCCACTACTTTTCAATGTCTACAGTGAAGCGGTATTTCAAGAAGCGCTCTCAGACTCAATAGAAGGTATATCTATAAATGGAGAAGTTTTGAATAACTTATGTTTTGCAGACGATACAGTAATAATTACGGATTGTACGAGAAGTATAAAAAAATAGTAAATGATAGAGATGTAATATCCTTCATAAAAATAGGTAGGCTTAGATGGGCTGGACATGTGTCAAGAGCAAATGAAAATTACCCACCCTGACGAACTCTATTATCGGTCCCAGTGGGAAATAGGAGTAGAGGTAGACCACGACTGAGATGGAGGGACGGTGTGGACGAGGACGCAAGGAAAATCGGCACGACAAATTGGCAACGGTTGGCGATGAACAGAAACGACTGGCGAAATAGACTGGGGAAGGTCAAGGCTCAACTAGAGCTGTAGCACCACTGATGATGATGATAACAACAATGATTTACAGAACCTAATGCAACGCCTTAATGAACGCTGTCATGAGTACGGACTGAAGATAAATTTAAAGAAAACTAAATGCATGATCATGACTAAATCTGCAGATGCAAATATCTAATTGACTATTGAATATACTGCAATTGAGAATGTTAATAACTATAAATATTTAGGAACGTGGATAACATCAGATGTAGACCAAACCAAAGAAATTAAAACACGTATTGAGATAGCACGTACATCATTAATTAAACTTAAAAAGTTTCTTTGTTGTCGGGATATAAGGTTAGAACTACGCCTGAGAATGCTTCGATGTTACGTGTTCTCTACTCTTCTTTATGGTCTGGAAGCTTGGACACTCAAACAAGTTCATCTGAATAAGCTGGCCGCCTTTGAATTTTGGTGTTACAAAAGAATCCTACGAATATCATGGATTCAAAGAATGTCAAACATGGAAGTAACTAGAAGGATAGGAAATGAGGCGGAAATAATATTAACTATTAAAAGACGAAAACTTGAGTACTTGGGACATGTGATGAGAGGGCAAAAATACGCATTATTACAACTTATTATGCAGGGCAAAATCCGAGGAAAGCGAAATGTGGGAAGACGAAGAATATCCTAGCTTAAGAACTTAAGGGAATGGTTTGAATGCAGTAGTGCAGAACTTTTTAGAGCGGCAGTCAACAGAGTCCGCATAGCCATGATGATTTCCAACCTTCGATAGAAGATGGAACTTAAAGAAGAACTGATTGTAAATACATCAAAGATAAAAATTAAAACAAGATTAAAAATTCAGGACCTATCTATACTCTACCAAGAGTCAACGGTCCATATTACAACTCATTACGATCTCCATCCATCGCCTTGTTGCATCAAACACATGCAAAAAATCGAACACTATCTTCAATATTTAGTTATAGTATATTAACTGTCTTTTCCCCAATTCCCCGGTGCCAGAAGAATTTGTATTTTTAAACATAATATTTTAATAATAACATTTTTGTTTTAACAAAATTTTTAACAATAAACCAAACTTACCACAAAAATTTCATTTTTTAAGAAGCGAAACACAGAATTTAATGGTGCACATTATTCGTATACGTCAATTATATAATGCACATAATAAATCAATGCTGGGGAAATTCGACAACAGGCTTAACAGTAAATCTTTCGAATGACACGGTGAGGAACAACATTCATTATCATACGGCAACAGGGATTTACCTGTATCTCTGTCATCGTTAATTGGATAAAATATTTTAATACATAAATCATTTTGAATTAATAAAAATAGAACTCTTTTAAACTCTAACTCCAATCAACTTTTTAAATAAATTAAAATAACTACAACACAATTTATTTAAAATTTTAAAAAACGGTATTTTGCATTTTTTTTATTTAACACTTTTTATTAAACACCAAATGGTGCCTGTTCAATGGAATATGTAAATGTGTTATTATCAAATCGCAATTTGAAGGAATTAAATCGAATTTGTAATAAATATTTATGGAATTTAGAGTTGTATTCTACAATGCAATTAGTCGGAATAGATTTTTTAATTTAGTGTTAATATAATGTAGTTACCTGAATATTTTTGTTATACTCGGATACAGTTTTAATTTAGTTAGTGATTCCGGAGTGTCTCTGAAAACCAGGTGAATAGGAAACTCTGCCTGCAATGTAAAATAAAATTTTATTAAGTTTTTAAATTATGTAGATATTAATCTTAGCCTTCACATTGATGCAATTGAACTATGATAAATTTTATCAAATATAAATTGATGAATTATTAACTTTTCAACTTGAAAAATATTACTGGTTACCACTGGATTTAAACAACCAACTTAGCACCAGTGGCAGAACATCAATTTTTTTTCTACTGATATTTTCCATAAAGAATTTCTGCTAAACATAAACCTCGTAGCTATAGCTGCTACAGCTTGGTATCCTTACAAAATTACAATTTGTTAGATTTACTCCCTCCAATCCTCAATCAATTTTGTGTACTCTTACACAAAAAGGGAGATATAGCAGACCTGGAAAGATACAGACCAATCAGTCTCCTTAACCATCTTTATAAATTATACACCCGAATAATAACGAACAGATTAGAGACAAAGCTGGATTTTTACCAACCTCGGGAACAAGCTGGTTTCCGCCCTAATTACGGCACAAACGATCACCTGCAGTGCCTAAAAACCCTAATAGAAAAAACTAACAAATATAACCGTCCCTTGGCATTAATATTTGTAGACTTTAAAAAGGCGTTTGATACAGTGGAACTACCGTCCATCTTAAGAGCACTACAAGATTGCAGGATCGACCACAGATATTGTAATATATATATATATATATATATATATATATATATATATATATATATATATATATACATTCGGTTTTATAACGTCTTACGACGTTGTCCGACTCCCAACCGCCACTGTATTCGGTCTTGAGTTAGGTCTTCGTCCAGATTTCGAGAGCTAATCGCTTTCCTAACTCCCAGGTTCCAGCTCTGTGGTGGTCTTCCTCGTTTCCTCTTCTCTGGGGGTTGCCACATCATCGTTTTTTTTAGGCAATCTTTCGTCCCCCATTCGGCTCACATGTCCATACCATATGAGCTGTTTTCTCTCAATATCCTCAACTATAGTGCCCTCTATACCCATTTGTTGTTTTATCACTTCATTCCGTATTCTGTCGGCTCTTGATATTCTCATCGATCTTCTGATGGCATCCATTTCCGTGGCTTCGACCTTTTTCTTATATTTCTCGGTTATTCTCCATGTCTCAGCTCCATAAAGTAGGCTAGTTTTAACCATTGTCTCATAGATGTTCCATTTTCTTTTCTTTGATATTTCTTTACTCCATAGAACTCCGTTCAAACATGCTATAGCTCTTCGTGCTTGTACAATACGATGTTCTATTTCTCGTTCGTCTTTTCCACTACGGTCGAAGATGACGCCCAGGTATTTATATTCATCTCATGGATGTACTTTTTGATTGTCATCGATATCGAGTTGTTCTGCTTCAGCTCCAATTGAGAGGTATTTTGTCTTTTCTAAATTGATATTTAATCCCCATTTCTGGTATTCTTCAATTAGTTTTCTAAGCATGTATTCCATGTCGTCTTTGTCATTTGAGATCATTTGAGATATTGTAATATAATTGAAAATATATATATGAAAATGCCACAACAACCATAAGTCTATATTCTGCAACTAATAAAATAAAGATAAAAAGGGGAGTCAGGAAAGGTGATACCATGTCACCAAAGCTGTTTATTACCGTTCTTGAGTATGCATTTAAAAAACTAACATGACAACAGTAAGGAATATCCATCGATGGAAAAAAAAGATCATCTACGTTTTGCGGACGATATCGTGTTCTGTCAGATAATCTGGGAGAGATCAAAGACATGCTCCAAAAACTGAATGACATACTACAAGAAACTGGGCTGGAGATAAATTTCGAGAAAACCAAAATGATGACCAATATGGTTCCCAGCGAAGAGATACAGATCAATAACAACAAGGTAGAATTAGTCGATAAATACACATACTTGGGTCATGAAATTAGAATAACCAGAGATAACCAAACCTGCGAGCTTAATAGACGAATCATGTTGGGATGGGCGGCGTATGGACGGATGAGAGACATTTTTAAAATAAATATCCCAATTCACCTGAAAAGGAAGGCATTTAACCAATGCATCTTACCAGTCTTGACCTACGCAGCAGAGACCTTAACTTTAACGAAAGCTACTGCCGAAAAACTGAGGGTAACACAAAGGCGAATGGAGAGATCAATGCTGGGCCTGACCTTGAAAGATAGTGTAAGAAATGAGGAGATACGCCGACGAACTGGCGTAGACGATATTATACTGCGAATCAATAAACAAAAGTGGAGGTGGGCTGGACATGTTGCTAGAATGGAAGACGGAAGATGGACGAAGAGATTATTGGAGTGGAGACCAAGAGCCGACAAGCGAAGTCGAGGCAGACTACCCACCCGATGGACCGACGACCTAAGGAGAATAGAAACAAACTGGATTGCAGGAGGCCTATATCCAACAATGGATGTGAAAATTCGGCTGGATGAAGATGATGATGATGATGACTCCTTCCAAACAACTGTTTAGCGAGTTTAAATCTTTATGATTTGACTTCTAAGCTTTCTACATCCTTTACTTTTGCAGGTAATTTTAATGTACATAATACTATGTGGACCTCTCATATTAGGTTAGGATTCTAATAATTGGATAGGTCTACCCAAAATTTATGAACCGGATATTTCTCTACGTCCCATTGTACGTGCATAAAACTGCCCTACACAACCATTGGTCAAGTACTTGATCAAACTTCTTTATTTCGTCGAACTTCTTAAGCAATACCCTATCTCATCGTCAGATTTTCTTGTAAGTTTCGATATCGTTTCATTCTTTATAAACATTCCTACAGACTAAACTCTAAATATTCTAAACAATAAATATAGTATCCAGCAAGACCACTGATCTCTTAGTAAACATTGTATATAAAACAATTATTTTATCTTCCAAAATTAATTCTACAGACAAATAAATGATACCCTAATAAGCTATCCACTATCTCCAGTAGCTGTCAATATCTCTATGGCATACTTCGAGACCCGAGCACTATCCACATCACTGCTCAAACTCACATGTTGGCTACGATATATTAACGATACATTTGTCATTTAACCCCATGGTCAGGATGCTTTGGGGTCTTTTCAAACCAATTTTTATGGTATACATCTTAGTATCTATTTTACGATGGAGGTGGAAACTACTTCATCCCTACCGTTTTCCGACGTTTTCATAAATAAAAATCAATCCCAAGGTTTTTATCACTCTGTTTCTCTAAAACCTACCGATACCAATCGTAACTCGTATGTCAACTCTCATTATCCACCTTCACAAAATATTCAGTCAATAATAGCCTCGTCTACAGATCAATACACCTTTGCAATATAGCAAGTAGATCCGCTGAGCTCTCTAGTTTAAAATAATTGCTCGTCCAAAACGGTTTTTGCGAAAATCACATCAATAAAAGTATCCACAGCAATTTTCCATTCATTCTTAATCCAAAGACTTAGACCTTAAGCTTACCAAAGCTTTTTTTTACATCAAAGGTGTCACTAACAAAATCGACAAAAATCTTAAATCAATAGGAAAAAAGACAATATTTACACCCCAACAAAAACTTTCCTCTCTTGTTCGATCACTCAAAGACAACATTTTAAATAAACAATACAAAGTTTATGAAATTTCTTGCTCATATTGATCCCGGTCCTATATAAGCTAAACAAATCGTAGAATCCAAAATAGGATTTAAGACCAGTCCATTTCTGTTCGAAATCCCGACATAATTTCAGCCTTAGGTCAACACCACCTTTATATATGTCACAAAAATGAATTTGAAACCTTCCGAACCATTTAGCTTCCATCCGCTTCCATAAATCAAGAATTATCCGAGAAGCCACAGAAATTGAAAAAAGACCAAATTGTCTCAATAAAAGAAATTAAAGCATACGATATCCTTATATTGGAATTAAACGGCCAAGGTAAGAGTTGACAGCCAGTACACCGAAAATATCAAAATACAGAGAGGAGTCCACCAGGGTTGCGTGCTGTCCCCACTACTTTTTAATGTCTACAGTGAAGCGGTATTTCAAGAAGCGCTCTCAGACTCAATAGAAGGTATATCTATCAATGGAGAAGTTTTGAATAAATTACGTTTTGCAGACGATACAGTAATAATTACGGATAACAACAATGATTTACAAAACGTAATGCAACGCCTTAATGAATGCTGTCATGAGTACGGACTGAAGATAAATTTAAAGGAAACTAAATGCATGATCATGACTAAATCTGCACATGCAAATATCCAATTGACTATTAAAGATACTGAAATTGAGAATGTTATTAACTATAAATATTTAGGAACATGGATAACATCAGATGTAGACCAAACCAAAGAAATTAAGCACGTATTGAAATAGCACGTACATCATTTGTTAAACTTAAAAAGTTTCTTTGTTGTCGGGATATAAGGTTAGAACTACGCCTGAGAATGCTTCGATGTTACGTGTTCTCTACTCTTCTTTCTGAAAGCTTGGACACTAAAACAAGTTCATCTGAATAAGCTGGCCGCCTTTGAATTTTGGTGTTACAGAAGAATCCTACAAATATCATGGATTCAAAGAATGTCAAACATGGAAGTAACTAAAAGGATATAAAATGAGGCGGAAATAATATTAACTATTAAAAGACGAAAACTTGAGTACTTGGGACATGTGATGAGAGGGCAAAAATACGCATTATTACAACTTCTTATGCAGGGAAAAATCCGAGGAAAGCGAAATGTGGGAAGACGAAGAATATCCTGGCTTAAGAACTTAAGGGAATGGTTTGAATGCAGTAGTGCAGAACTTTTTAGAGCGGCAGTCAACAGAGTCCGCATAGCCATGATGATTTCTAACCTTCGATAGAAGATGGAACTTAAAGAAGAAGATCCTTCGACATGAAGACCTCTCATAAAAAAAATATCATCCGCTTCACCCGTAAATTAAAATCCTTCTATCAGAAATATTCGCGCCAACATTGCGCCAATCCCAAAGCTAACCCACACGCCAACCTCCACCCAAACCACGTCACTATCGACGGTACAAATAAACCGTCCTCTGTTCCCAGTGGCAGTAATGAATTGGTTAGTAATCAGTGTACTAGTATCTGGGGGCTCGGGAGACTGTATGTATGTTTGTTTGTATATAACGTTCTTATTATTTTTTCTTATTTTGTCTCTTTTTTTACAATTTTTAGAAACTATAGAAAAAATCGGTAGCGCTCTTTCGGCAACTAGACTGTTATTTGTTTCTCTGTTCTGTTTATTTAGTATTTCTGATTTAGCTTTAGTAGTTACTATCTTTTATTGTTTTCTTTTCTTTCTCCCAATTGTAGTCTAGCTTGTGTAAAAAAGGAGAAGAATCACGCCCATATCTCTTCCGATTCTGAGCAACGCAGTCTAGTTCATTTTTTGTGTGCCTCAAACATCTCTATCGTTTGTTGTGCTACATCACTGTACCTTGTTAAGTATCCTTTGAGAATCTTTAAAGTTTTACATAACTAGCTGGTCAAAAACAACTTAAAATAAAAATAAGAAAGAGAACACATTATTTTATATACCTACTTAGTGTCATAGGTTCTGCTCCTATAACAATGACTGGGAAGGTTTTTGTACTATAAATAATGTATTTCTATAGTATATTTTATTTTTATGAAAATATATTATGTACTTACCGCAGACCCAATGCTTTTGTTATTTAGTGAAGTATCATTAAGTATTAAAGTAAATGAATATATTGATGTTTTGAACAATACTTCTTGCTTGACTTCAAATTCTAAAAAAAAAAAACGTTTATTCAAATAAATATCACATTTTTCTTATTGCTTGATTTACATTAAACATTCATTAAAATGTAACTGAATATCTCTAATTTTAAAGCAGTAAAAACTTCCTCAATTTGTCTAAAAACTTTTAAAATTATCTGTCAGAATTTATAATCCATCACATCGGAACAACTTTATATCATTCGTTAAAGTTTATAATAGTTCAAGAAGTGATAAATCGGCTCTTATAAAAAAATATACCATCAATTGATTATAAAATGGCGCCAAAAGATACAAACAATAATGAAAATTTATAATGAGATTTTTTAGGGAAACGAGAAAACCTCGTGTCAGGGCAAGGATTTCGCTTGCTCTGGTTATCAGAGGAACTGCCAAGTACCGCGCAACGCATATCGTAAAAATTAAAAATATAATTGTGAGAAAACTCCGAAACTGATAACTGCACTCTTCGGTTGCTAGTTTCTGACTAATGCCGTTACGCTGCCACTGACGTCACTCCCTGATCGAGGCAATATGTTACCTCTGTAGTTTATTATACCATGTTAGCAACCCATACTGCCTTCAAAATCCTTTACCAAGCTTAAACCGCCTTAAATTCTATTATGAATTATTAAATAACGTTGTTTCCCTTATATTACGTGTATTTAAAACGCTTATGTCCAGTGGAATGGAATAACGCCATAATGATTTTACTTAATGAAAGAAGAGACAGGGCAAATTATGAAAATTATCGGTTAATTAGTCTCAAAGCCAGTTCTATAAATTGTTTAACATAATAATGGTCACAGGATAAAAAGATATAAATATTTACATAGTGAACAGGCAGGATTTCAAAAATGTTACAAAACCAACGACCTATAAAGCATAAAAACCGTAATAGATGTTGTCTCTTGTTTTACTATTTATTAATTTTCGTAATGAATTCAAATTAAGAAACATTCTTTAGGCACTTAAAATGCAGGTTACATTATAGGTTTACAAAGTTACAATACAATACATCGCTAGTGCCTTCTATAATAATTTTTTTTTGCAAAGACTTTTTAATAACTGATTGGAATATATTTTGTATAAACTGGTTAAGCAAATGAGTGATTGTCATAAAAAAAAATTGCGTTTTACTTGCTAGGCACGATGGTATTATACATCCATTGTACCTGACGATTAAAATTTATTATCCACCTACCCTTATATAATTTTCCAACATCCAACTCATTATAATCACATTCACTTGCAGAAATTAAAGTGAATACCTTCCTTTCAAGGACAAAACCCCACATTGTACGGGCATTAACTCCCTTTCTGTTGTCTCTTTCAATTTGGGAGGTGGTTTATGAATGAATACGGAATACGATAGCCTTGGCGATGCTTCCAATGAATAAGACGCTTATCTGCAATGGCTTCTTCCCTTTCTAGAACGGTGACCTATTTACCTTATCTCTAAGGAATTAACGCAAATACAAGCTATTATGAATTTGTTGCCAGGCCCCTTTCTGGTTAAAATGTAAATATAGAAATTGCAATGCGTGTTTTTGCATGAAAATTGATGATTTCCATGAATTGCATATTTTACTAATGAATTATAAAACTTCGTTTAAATTAGACATGAAATAAAAATTAACTTTTTGTTCTGGCGAGTCTTGCAATCAACTCTACTAATTGCTCGGATGAATAATTATTGTATTGCAGATGTTCTGCTTTATTGTACATTTGCAATGCGTATGTTTTGTCTGATATACCCATCCTTTCATAGTATTTCCCATGTTGCAACTCCTTGTTTATCTGTAATTGCTTTGTCTTTTCCCCAGAAAAAATTCAAAAATTTATTTTTAAATTCTTGCCAGTTTTCAAATTCCTCCACTTTGCTGTCGAACCATAGACTCGCCTCATCTTTGAGATGATTTCTGATCATTTCCTTAGTTGTCTCAAAGTTTTCTATGTATTGTATCTTCTTCTTTAGATTATTCATGAACGGTACGGGGTGCAGTGTTCTTACATCCCCGCCAAACTGTAATTTTACTTCGCTTGTTCCATGGATGATAACTTCTTTTCTCTCTACTCCTCTTAGTTCAATTTCTGCCATTTGTTTTTCATTTGGATTTAATCTCCTTTCTACTTCTTTCCTGTCTTCGTGTAGCGCCATTTCAAATTTTTGGTCTAAGTGTTATAATTTCTTTTTTTTGTCAATTTCGTATCTCCTTCATCTTGTTTTGTACTTTCTTTTCTTGTTCTCCCATTTTAATCTTAATTTCATTAATCTCTCCTATCTGTTGTGTCATTTCTCTTTTTATCTCCTCTACCCATCCTTTTATTTTCTGTTCATAATTTTCCAAACGCTGCTCTATATTCCTGTTTGTTTCCCGTTGGTTTTCTTCCATTGTTTGTTTTGTTTATTGTTGATTTCTATCCATTTTCTTTGATGTTTCTTGTATTAGTTGTGTCTTTATTTGCATCATTGCTAATAATTTTTCTAACATTCCTGTTTCTTTTCTTTCCTTCATTATTGTAGCATTTTCTTCATTATCCGATCCTTCATCAACAATTGTTTCCTCTTCTCTTTTATCTTCCTTCCTTTCTTGCATTTTGCTTTAACTCCTTGTGGTCGACATGTTCGTTAGATTATTTATCCCCGCCAACTATGAAGCGTTGAAATTTGTGCAATAATATCCCCGCCAAATATGAAATTCGAGTAATCTTGTAAAGACGAAAACTTTTCCTCTTATCCCAAATGCAATAAATTCTAATAAATGCAATAAAATTTAAAACTTTTGTCAGTTGTTAAAATAAATCAACTATCATAAAATATATCATGCAAAAGTTTGAACCTAGAGAAATTTGAAATATTATGTCATAAAAGCAAATATTATAAACTTTAACCATCGGCAAATAAATTTTCAATCAATCTGCTTTCTTTCTCTATCCGTTTAAATTTTAACTAGAAATACTTTCTACGCCTTACACGTTGGGGGCCATTTGTTATGGTTGTTTATTTTGACTTTAATCTTAGTTTATTAAGCCAATAAAATTAATACTACTTATTTGTTATCAAATGTAAAATAAACTCCTTATATTACCTGTGTTCGATGGATTCAAAGATTTGCTAGTTGTCCTTTATCGGGATAGAGAAGAAGGATAATAATAAAAAAAATATTATATAACAAAAAATTCACGTTTCTTTATTTTATATGAACGAATAAAACAATTATCAAATTCTGCCGTTATCTTATCAATCAGCATACAAGAAAATAAATCAAATTTTTATAATAATAAGATTTTAAATCTACATACATTTATATTAAGTGAAAACCAATTTTACTTAAATTTTTCTTTACTTAAAACAAGAAACAACAAAACTAAACTTTTGATTAGCCTAACAAAATCTCAGTTCTTAAATTTGAATGCTAATGACCATGATGTCAAGCAGATCCTTCAAAGATATAAAATTCACTTGTACAAATCACTTACAGCTTATTTTCTTATTGAGTTGTATGTTGGAACATACCCAGAAAAGTCCAGTCTCCTCAACGATGTGATCTCTCCTTTTGGGCACCTAGGCTCCTTCCTAACGTCTCTGCAAACCTGCTGCACTAACCAAAAACACCTGATTCACTTCTCCAAAAACTCAACTACTTAATAATGACACAAGGGCCTCCTTTTGTCGACTTGATGCCATAAAACTACTTTCACAAATCTTCACAAAATGCCCACGGTAGATACAAGGACCTCTTTTAATCTACTTGCTATCTCCTTCTGCAAAAGTATTCAATTTTTTTCACAAAGCCGTTATCCAACTCACGAACCACACCCTGTCTTGAGACAAACGACTGTTTCTTTCGATAACCAAATTATAACTAACTTCCTCGGTTCTCCTGATCGGCTCACAAATTTCCATTTAAAAACGACCGTCCAATCAAAAGCTCAAATTGTGTTTACCATGATTTTGGAAAAGCCTAATTTCGGTTTCAGAGAAAAACTAAATAGCTAACTTTAAAATTGGTTTTGTCAATACACTATTTACACATATTTCAAAATATTAGAATATGGTCATTTAATACCCGATTATACAAACAATGAAAAGATTAACTTACAGGTAAAATGTGTTCTAATTCTAAACAAAGGTTTTTTGATAATTTTGTTGGAAACGGAAAAATTTCTATTCTTATCTACACTAAACCTTATCTTAAATTACCATATACACTTTGTTTATACTGATATCTTAAAATTTTATTTCGATGGATCTATTTATTTATTTTTCTTTGGTTGGGAAAGAAGAAACATATATATATATATATATATATATATATATATATATATATATATATATATATATATATATATATATATATATAAACATGAACAAAAACGGTTATTTTTAGAATTGACACATATACAAAAAAATAAAAAATGTGTAAATAGAAGATCAGATATTGACAAATTAATTAACATTTATTGTTACATATTAACATATCAATAAATATCGTCAAGATCTCATTTTCTATTGACATCGTAACATTAAAAATTCATATGTGCTTAAGCCAAACTTCTGACTGGATTAATTTATATTTTTTATAGACAATTAAATAAATTATAATAAAAACTATTGTTACTGGTTTTGCTTTCCACATAAAGTAACTGTATTTTCATTCATATATGTCCATTAATCAAACCATGACAATGACATATATAGTGACAATATAGTTATTTTTATTAAAAAAAATTTTTTAATATATTTATAATGGTTTGTTTTGTGGAGTACAATAGTATTAACAACTGTAATCTCACGACTAGTAAGTAAGACAATTAACAATTTTAACTAGTTAATTTATATTTCTTTTTATAGATGTCTTGAAAAAGAATTAAATAAAATTCGAAAGCTTGACAGTAAGTCAAAGAGATTTCTTTGTCTTGTGGGCCAAAAAAAAAGGGACTGCATCCTCAAAAATCATAATTTATATTTAAATTAACAGTCAAGAATACCACCATCTTATATATATATATATATATATATATATATATATATATATATATATATGTTTCTTCTTTCCCAACCAAAGAAAAATAAATAATCCATCGAAATAAAATTTTAAGATATCAGTATAAACAAATTGTATATAGTATGTATATATATATATATATATATATATATATATATATATATATATATATATATATAAATTTATATTGTTTTAAAAAATACATATTATTGATACTTTATGTTCTAAATGAGCTCCTCCTCTCTTAAGACAGAGTTTATACCGATATTCCATGATTTCTCGTAATGTTATAGAATAAGGTTGTCTCAAGTCCGCGAAGAAGGTTCTAACGGTATTCTTTAACTCATTAATGGTTTGTGGTATGAGTTTAAAAACGGCAGTTTTGGCCATGCCTCAAATGTATACGTCTGGAGAATGCGCAGGATAGGGAAAGCCAGTAAATCGTGAAATGAATTTGTTTGGAAAATGTTCCTGAAGAATTTGACGAACTAAGACAGCAGTATGGCAAGTTGCCCCATCCTGTTGGAAAAATTGGTCTCGAAATGCCAAATTACGTGCACAACAAAATTGACGGAGATCAGGGGTAAGCGTGTTCAAATTTGAATGTACCTCTGTTGATTAAGTGTGACTAGCCTACCATTTTCTTCGATAAATTATGGACCAATGACCAATGATTCCGTGTCCCGAAACTGCACAACAGACACTCAATCTTGCGCTATATAAAGGAACTTTTTGAAATGCATCTGGTCTGGCAAAGCCCAGAAATCGATTTGTGCGACGATTTACATGGCCTAATAAATGAAAATGTGCTTTGTCTTAAAACCATACATTTTTCAAAAATATTTCAACTATAGTTTATTTTTATGAACGAGAAAGTCATTAGCATAATTTTAACTGGTACCTCTGACCACTCCATGGGCGTGCTCAAGATTAATTGAAAAATTACTTTGAATAATTGTAAAAAATAAATGAATTATTTCAGTGTTATAAAGTGTTATGTGTATGTAAACAAAAGTGACCTCTTTTATCACACACTATATTAGAACTGACTGGCCTACATTAAAAAGAGTTTTAAAAAATTCACATTTTTTTAAATTTTTTAAAATTACAAAAGAGAAAAAGAGTTTTTAAAACCGTCTAAGGTATGTTAAATAGATGAATAAAAATATTAATATAAAACTTACAGCTACTTGTTACAAATCCAAATCAGATTCAGAAGATGAACTTTTTCATTTCAGAAGATTTCACAACAGAAGATTTCAGGTTTTACATTATTTACGGCCTCCAAAAACAACTGTTTAACATCATGAATTTTAAAAGTGGTATTTTTTCTTGAAACTTCACTCTTTATCTGTGCCCATACCAGTTCAATCGGGTTTAATTCACAATGATATGATGGGGATCTAAGTACTGTCATTCCACGATTTTTGGCAATTTCATCAATTTCGTATTTTTTAAATTTTTCTTTATGAAGGGCACACAACGAATAAAGTTTCTTTCTTATAGATCCGGGATGGTACGTAATATTTTTTGAACTCAGCCAATTCTACAAGTCTTTTTTTAACCACTTGGTTCTGGGCAGTCCTTCTATAAGTCTGGAGTGATAACTTGCATTATCCATTACTATTACACAGTTCTTAGGAAGAAGATCTATCATTTGTTCAAACCATTTTTGAAAGAGATCAGCGTTCATGTCTTCATGGTAGTCACCGGTACGAGTTGATTCAAAAGTTAATAAACCACCTTCAACAAAACCGTCTGAACTGCCAATGTGTACTATTATCAGCCTGCGTCCCTTTATTGATGGTGGATTTAAACCAGTAGATTTATACCAGTTACAAGTCAAAGGCACGCTTTACAAAAGCGTGGCTTTGACTTGTAACAGTTTCATCCTGCCAAAATTTATTTGGTGTATGACCCTCGTTGATCCATTTTTCATCAATATAAAATATTTTTCTTTTTTGGTTTCTCATTTCCTTTATGGTTCTTAGAAAATGTCTTCTTCATATGACAATATCGCTTCTTTCTAATAAAATAGACTTTCTGGGATTTTTTTTTCAGCGGAAGCCTATTTCTTTTAAAAGTTTCCATAACGTACTTCGACTCATTTTCGGGGTAATCCTTATCATCTCGAACTGAGACAAGAACTTTATCCAATGTTGGAAATTCTTGTCTAAAGAAGAATTCATGCACTTTCCGTCGAAGTCCTTCTTTAAAATGATATTCTATTTGAAATTTTGGTTTCTCTGGAGCATTACGTGGCATTTGAAAACTACCACATTTTTCTTCTTTAATAACTCTGTAAATCGTAGATTTCCCAACACCAAGTGTACTGCTAACTAACTCAACGGTCTCATCAACACTTTCACATAAACGTTTGTCTATAAATGATTTAAAACAATTAAATATTAATGTTTTTTCATTAACTGTTAAAGGACCAATTTTTCGGCGTTTACACGGCACTTCCAAATTTTCCATAACACTAGTATACACAATAAACTGCACCTTGCAACTGAAGTACCTACTTTTAGTGAACTGTTATGAATTTTGAATACGCCACTTGGACCTTCCTACAAAATGGAAAAACCCACTATCACATTTTCTGTGGAATAAGTTTAGAAGGTAATTATCTAGTCAATTACTGTCGTAGATTCCTGGAATTAAAGAATTAAATGTTTGATTGTTGAAACCCTTACTTCGTGGAATGCACTCATTTCAGATAAAATAAAACGTTTTATTTTATCTAAAGAATTAAACTTTATTTTGCAAATGGGTAGGTACTTATTAAACTTTTATTGGTTATATAACCAATAAAATAAACATCTTACGATCTTACATTTCTTGCAAATTCATTTGCTTACCTCTCTTTGCAACCTCCATCACTCCGACACTGGCAACCTTATTTAGGGATTAGTAACCCTCACAAATATTGTATTCTATTCTGCTCCAACCTTTATACCTGGTGGTCATACTCAATTTAAAATTGTTTTCCTATATACTTCTGTAAACTTGTTGACAAATATCTGTTTTTCATTGAGTCACCCGTATCAACAGTTTAGGGATTTGCATACATAATCTATTGTTTTATTACTCTCTCATACATAAAAATACACTATAGTTCTGTGACACTTATATAGCTATTAAAAAAAGGGGCTAGCAATTGAGAGGTGAAAATTAAGCAATTTATGTATTTTTAACGCCACATGATAGAAATATAAAAAAAAATTTGTTTAAAAATAAAAAAATTACTGGAGTGAACCATTCTTATTTCTTAGGGGTATGAAAAGTAGAGCAACCTATGTTCAGACCTACAAAACACACATGTAAAATTTCATTAAAATAGTTCTAGCCGTTTCGGAGAAGAAAGGTTTGCAATACGCATGGCAACAACATCCGGTGTTTCCAAGCGGTTACACACCCAAATAATAACCGCAACCGACACTGCTTGACTTCGGTGATCATACGACAACCAGTATATTTAGTGTGGTATGGCTGTTGCCCAATCTATCAATACTGATATTTATTTTGTTAATCCTAGCTTCCTTTGTTAGTCATGGTATGGCGCCATCTGTTAGTTATATTGTGCAATTTAAAATGACAAAAGATTTAAAGTCTTTCCGTACAATTTTTAAAAATCATATTTTATACAAATTTCCTTATAATAATAGACAACAAAAAGAGAATTATCTAATTTGATGCAGTCGTTGTAATGTGATGTCCGTTTATACATTTCGGCGATTCATTTTTAATAATATACATTATTTGAGTTATTAAAATATTGCAAAATTCAAGCATATTAACGTCTAAATGTGCATTTAAATTAAATATTGGTTTATATTGGTTTAAACCACAATTGATTGTAATGAGAATTAAATTTTACATTTGTTTTGACATTCAAATTTCCAACTCAAAATTAGTTAAAAAAAAAAGAATTAATAAATTTTTAGATTTAAGCTGTGAACCAATTTGACTGTTAAGTCAACTGTCAAATTGGTTGTATGATAATAATAATCGATAGATTACATGGGACCAAAAGCAACTACAAACATCATTTAATTGTCATTTAAAATCGCCCTTTTGAATATATTCATCTACATTTTTATAATTAAATTTGGCTTACAGCATTTCTGAAGTTTAATTATAAAAAATGTACTACTTACTACAATGTATAGCTGTTCGAGTTTTATTTTCCCATGGATACTCCCTTTCTTTGCAAATTGGTTTAAGAACTGGCTTTTCGTTGCCATCTTCGATGTAGAAGTCATAATGATTTGCATTCGCTGTGTCATTGTCTATAAATATTAGATGCGGGTGCTCAATCTTATCTCCCTATAATAAAAATAAATGTGTCAATATTGTTGTCATAATTATAAAAAGGGTTCAATGGAGTTAAAATATTTATTAAGTCTCTCTCAATATTTCGTCATTCAGTCAGTTTTGTTGCACACAATTTTTTTAGGTTTTGTTTGAAAAAGTCAGAATCTTTTTGTTTAAATAATTTTTACCAAATATTAATAGAGATAGGAATCCGAGTGAAAGGTGACTACATCAATAATATCCGTAAGGCCAATGACACTGTGTTACTAGCAACCAGCTTAAATTATCTACGAGCCTTACTAGAACGAGGGAGAACTATGAGCGTAACATACGGGCTAGACCTTAATATTGAAAACTAAATTCATGGTTTTTTTGCTGTGAAAATTAAGATCCCCGGGCACTAATGGCAGGTAGCGAAGAGATCTAGAGAGTCGACAGATTTACCTACATCGGAACTACCCTCAACTCACAATGGAGCTACGCTCAAGAGATTAAATCCAGAATTGAAATGGCACGGCCTACATTTATCAAGTTGAGATTCTTGCTGTGCTGCAGTGGTCTTAATTTGGGAACCAAGATGCGGATAGTGAGGTGCTACATTCTTCCGGTGTTACTATATGGAGTTGAAGCCTGGACACTGACGCAAGCCACAAAAAAACGGATTGAAGCTTTCGAGATGTGAGTCTATGCGAGAATAGGCTCAAAAAAGAAGTGCTTAATTTAGTGAAACAACGTAAGCTTGAGTACCTCGGGCACGTGATCAACAACGAAGAAAAATATCGAATTTTTTAACTCGTTATGCAGGGTAAAGTATTTGATAGAAGAGGACTGGGACGCCGTCCCCGCGGATGACCTCCGCGGGGTTGTTTCGCAGAGCAGTCATCAAAACTATGATAGCCTTGGTGATGGCCAACATACGGACCAAATAAGGCACTGAACTAGAAGAATTACATCTTAATAAAAAGAAAAACAAAATAGTCTTGTACACCGTGAGATTTCTTGAAAAATTAATACAGTAGGCGGTACTGCAGACCAGCGCAAAGTTTCGTACTATGTATTCTCTATTTTTAAAATTTAAATATTTGTATATATATATATATATATATATATATATATATATATATATATAATTATATATTTATAATATACATATATATATATATATATATATATATATATATATATGTATATATATATATATATATATATATATATATACAGGGTAGTCCTTAAGTAATTCTAGAAAAAGAAATCGTAGATTCTACACTTTAAAATATTACGATTTAAGTCAAGTTTCTTTAATAAAATGTTGATATTAAGAAAGATACAGGGTGTTAAAGTGGTAATTTAAAATTTTATTTTTCGTTATACTTTCATGTTTGTCAACATTTATGTATAAAAATTTACAACTGGGTACTATTTAATATCAGAAATTATAATTTGATGTATACTTTGATGTAGCTGATAAAGGGCGCCACATATGCCACATATGTGGCATGCATTTGCACTTCAATTTTGTTCTCTTCAAGTTACCGGCATTTTTAATGAAAAATATTAAATATACATTATTTTAACAAAAAAAAAGGTATACTTGTTAATATCTTCAAAACTTAACAGTTTTCGAGATAATCGCATTTTAGAAATCAACTACATAATTTTGATTTATCGCAATTACTCCAGACAACGAAAGAAAATTAAACAAAAACATCAATACTTTTGAATTTTGGTATAAAATAGCTTTAATAAATTTAATAATTAACGAATTAATAAATAAAATAAATATATCGGCAGGATAAAATAATAGGATTTGATTAATAACAGAATAATTGAATTTTACATTGAACATTTTACGTTTTGTATTAAATTAAAGTCATAATCAAAACATTTTATTTACAAACCAAATTAACAAATAGTTAAACTAAATAACATGAAACTTTTTGTCAAAGTAAGTGTTTGATATGTCCACCATTTTATTTAATTCATTTGACAATACATTCCATAAAATATCATCTCATATTAAATAGCATCATTGGTTTTAAAGAAACTGCTACAGTATCTATTATAAGTGTTATAAGTATAATAATAAGTAATTTTTTGAAATTTTTATGAATTAAACAATTATATTAATATCTCACCACCAAAATATGACTACCAGGAACAATCCAACGTTCCGGAAAGTTGTATTTAAATACTGTCTCACTCCGCTTTCTCTGTAATGTAGTGGTGTACCATCTTGTAGAAAGCACATATTTCGCCTTAAGTTTGATGACAATTCTTCCAATAAATCAATAAACTAATTTTATAAAAAATGTAAATAAATCTCGACATTCAAATTGCACGGTAATTCGCATATCCGTAAAAAATAATTATCAACGGTTCTAAACCATAGGACCTGCATTTTAAATATGACTTTTGAATGATATTTTACAGATATGCGAATTACCTTTCAATTTGAATGTTGAGGTTTATTTACATTTTTTATAAAATGATTTTATTGATTTATTGGAAAAATTGTCATCAAACTTAAGGCGAAATATGTGGTTTGTACAAGATGGTAGACCATTATATTACAGAGAAAGCGGAGTGAGGCAGTATTTAAGTATAACTTTCCTGAACGTTGGATTGTTCGTGGTCTTGTAGTGAGATAATAATATAATTATTTAATTCATAAAAATTTCAAAAAATTACTTATTATTATACTTAAGACAACTATAATAAATACTGCAACAGTTTCTTTAGAACCAATGATGCTATTTAATATGAAACGAAATTTTATGGAATGTATTGACAAATCAGATAGAAAAAATGGTGGACATATTAAACACTTATTTTGACAAAAAGTTTAATGTTATTTAGTTTAACTTCCTATTTCTTAATTTGGTTTGTAAATAAAATTTTGATTATGACTTTAATTTAATACAAAACGTAAAATGTTTGATGTAAAATTCAATTATTCTGTTATTTTATCAAATCCTATTATTAATTATCCCGCTGATATATTTATTTTATTAAATATTTCGTTAACTATTAACTTTATTAAAGGTATTTTATAACAAAATTCGGAAGTATTGATGTTCTTATCTATATTTCTTTTATTGCTTGGAGTAATTGCGTTAAATCAGAATTATGCAGTTGATTTGTAAAATGCGATTTTCTCAAAAACTTTTGAGTTTTGAAGTAACAAGTATACCTTTTTTTTGTTAAAATAATGTGTCTTTAATATTTTTTATCAAAAATACCGGCAACTTAAAGAACAAAAAAGTTAAGTGCAAATGTATGCCAAATATGTGGCATATGTGGCGCCCTCTATTAGCTATATCAAAGTGTGCATCAAATTATAATTTCTAATATTCAATAGTATTCAGCTGTAAATTCTTATACATATATATTTACAAACATGAAAGTTATAGTGAAAAATAAAATTTTAAATTTCCACTTTAACACCCTGTATCTTTTTTAATATCAACATTTTATTAAAGCAAGTTGGCTTAAATCGTAATATTTTAAAGTGTAGAATCTGCGGTTTCTTTTTGTACAATTACTTAAGGACCACCCTGTATACATATATATGTATATATATATATATATATATATATATATATATATATATATATATATATATATATATATATATATATCTTAAGTTAAGATGAAGTCTAAAATAAAATTTTTTGCATAGTTGGAAGTGAATCAATGATTTTCTTAGTTCTTTTTCACTAGTTAATATTATATTAAATATTATATGCTTATTAGACCACGTGTTCTGTTGCTTTGCTAATTTTTACTAAGTCTCTAAATGTTGTTAGTTATTTAATTGTTTATACAATATCACCATATGATGTCCATTTATTTGAGTTTTTGTACTACCTTTTTAATACCATTGACAACTACATATCTTTTTTAAGGTAACTATTTAACATCTTCTTCATGAATGTGTGGTACTCATAATGTAAAAATTTTTAGATGAACTGATGATGCTATCAGAATTCGATAGCGAAACGTCTTCAAAATAGATGAAGTAGTATCAACTTTGTCTTTTATTTCTCCACCTAGTTGACCGATAATTGAACCCACCACTCATCTGAGTGATCCTTTTATATATATATATATATATATATATATATATATATATATATATATATATATATATATATATACAGCATGATACAGTTCTGACGGATATTGGCAGTCCTTCAAAAAATGTACCGATGCATATGGGATAAATATTCTTACATTTATTGAATCAAAAATCACTGTTTTATTTGTACCTGTCTTTTTGCCTGACTGCACATAAACGTCAACAATTTCAAATTTTACATTTATTTTCTTCTTCTTTAGCCTTAAACATCCAATTTTGGATATAGGCCTTCCTCAAATCAATCCATAGTGTTTTCTATTTTGCGCCACTTGCTTCCACTTGTGTCCTCCGATCTTCTTAATCAGCCCATCTCATTTGTGGTCTTCCTCTGCTTATCTTTCCTAACTAGGATTTTCGTTGTTTTATTTTGTGGTTCCATCTTTTATCTTTTAGTCAGGCATTGTGTTCTGCGAAGGTCGATTTTAATTTTGCAGCATGTTCTCCTGCGTCTTTTACTTTGGTTTTGCTTCTTATCCATTTGTTTGTTTTTTTTGTCCGTAAGTCTCACCCCGAGCATCGCTCTTTGTACTTTTATTACATATTTTATTACAATCCAGTATTCTAATAAAATTTTGATATATTCCGTACTAATATGGTATTAATAAAACGATAGTAGAAATATATAGTTTTGTTTTATAATTAGGTAAATAAATTTTTTACATGTTATATAATGGACTCCATTAATTTGTCAAGTTAATTTGACTTTTTCACTTTTTTGGTCGTGACGATTTGCTTTGCTATGTCATGACGATCGAATTTTCATTGTAAACTGTTGTATTCTCTTGATGATTGATTGGGGGTTACACAAAGAACGGTACTAGGCTCGGGCTTCAGTCTGGTAGAGGTATCTTGGTCGGGGTTCTTGTTACAGCTC